AGAATTAATTTGATATTTTATTATAAGATATTATTGTTTTCTTTTTATTTTTAATTCTGAATTAATATTAATGAAAGGAAGATTGAATAAGGAGAAGGGTAGTTTGGGAAATGAGATTTTATGAACCGTTTGCAAATCGGTGTTAGGCTGGAAGTTTATGGGATGGAGGGAATGGCAATCATTAGAATAAGTGTTTAAGAGATATTTAATATTTGATTGATCCCAAAAAAAAAATAAAGAAAAAGCTGTTAATCTGTAGAAGCTTCCAGAGCACCTTTTCATTTTTACAGCAACAAATGTTTTCTTATTTTCTCTTATTTAATTTTTTAAGTAAAATATAATGAAATATTTGATTGTGTTTTTAATTATATGCCAAATAAGTTCATCGATGTTAAAACTATTGATAATTTATTATAATTAATGTAAATAAAGAAATAGTGGAAATTGAGAGAATCTCCAAAGAAGGGCGGCAACGTCAACGTGTTGTATGAGAGGGAAAAGATAGGGCGAGGGAGACGGATTTGACAAAACGTGGAGCAGAGTATGGGATGGGATGATTGGCCCAATGGGCCCACACACCTCACCTGCCGTCTTTTATTGTCGGTGTCCCTTATTTATCGCTGCAACATTTGTTTGGGCCGAACCCCTTTCATAACGAAGGGCATTTCATTAAAATGGGCCTAGGCCCATGTTCCAACCCAAGAAGGCTGATTAATTAAATCAAGAACCCACGCCCTTTCGGAGTAGAGCCTACATCTAGCCACTCGGCCGAACTGCCTTGATTACTAATAGGAACTATTTATATAATTGATTTTATAGTTTTGGATTAAATGATGATACCAATTTATATTAACCCATTAACATGAAGGATGATTTTCAAATAAGTTCCATTCAAAGTAGATTTGAATTCAATTGACCAAATGAAATAAAAATAGATATAAAACAAACATAAGAAGACACTAAAATTTGGCAATAGATTTAACGTCATCAATGAATAATGTTTTCTTATTCCAATTATTGGACTTTGCTTTATTAAATTAATATCATATGGTACACTAAGAAAGAGATAGAGAGAGAACAAAAAACAACATAATTTTATTCATCATTAAGTTTCCCTTCCCACTGTTTTAGATGAATGAGGGGCTAAGCTACCAACATTTGATGGTCTGTAAGGGAAGACCCACAACTTTAAAATCAAAATATAAAACTAAATTTCATCACTATATAGTAATCAAATCCTCAACATCAGACGAGAAGGCTCAAAACAAGCTAACAATTTGCTGCTACAACAATAGAAGCTTCATTTATATATATATATATGAAATATGCAATACACACAATCCAACAATTATACAATTTGGTATCCTCTTTATTGTAAGGTCAAAGCTAGCTATGATATCTCTGTACAACATCAAGAGAAAAAAAATGGGTTGACAATCAATGTAAAAATTGTTCTCTTTTCAAGGAAAAACGAAGAGGTCTGAGATTTTGATATCAAGCATGATCACGGGTACAAAGGTTGTAACCAGAGATAAGCGAACTAATAGCAAAAGCAACAAAGGCAAGGAAAGACATGCTGACCGATGCACTGGCCATCTGCGTGAATTCATCTTTTCCCCAATTTGATTGCCAGTCATCAACACGTGTTGCGGCCGAGGAAGACGACGATATCAGAAGATATGCCAATGCCTGCCAATATAATCCAGGATTACATCATTAGTTGATGAAGAAACGAAGCAGGCAGAATAGCTAACAATCTTGGGTTATCAAGAAAGTTCTCGCTGAGACTCGAGAGGCAGAAGACTTGATGATTAACCACAATAGGTTTTGTTTGGATTCACTTTCAAGGTGTAACAGCCCAAATCTACTACTAGCACATATTGTCTTCTTTGGACTTTCCCCTCCGGACTTCCCCTCAAGATTTTAAAACGTGTCGACTAGAGAGAGGTTTCCACACTTTTATAAGGAATGCTTCATTTCCCTCTCCAACCGATATGATATTTCAAAGCTTAAAACCACTATTTTTTCACTTACAAACAACACTTAGAAAGTCAACCCAATCCAAACAAGCCCTTGAATATTTGAGCAAATCAGAAGCCTGAACAATCTACACTCACACAATGACACAATCAATCATTATACGAGACAAGTGATCAGCAGGCAGATCAACTATCAAGTTCATCCCCACTTGAATGATCGTCTCAGATTGAGTAAACCGTATTCAAGCGGTGAAGCAGAAAAAAGATTCTCCATGCAATTCAGCGAATTTCCTCTAGCCTAAGTAAACTAAACAAGCCTTGAACCATAGAGACACATTCATTGTAGCAGACTAACAGTGAAAGCATGCCTATAGATATTAAATAATATTCATTCAGACCCGCTTATTTGCACAACTAACCTGATCCATGAAGAAGTCAAAATGATAACGAAAGTGATGGCGTATCATATGGTTCTTCTTGAATAGAGTATAGACAAGATCAAATGCTTGAAACACTGCATACACGAACGCAATTATATTCACGGTGAGGCAGTACCTGTTGATAAATCGACTTGATGAGATAATATAAGACGGGAACAAACATACAGACTTCTAGAATAATTTGAACAAAAAGAATATGAGATACATCCTTTAAGTACGGTTTTCACGTTATAGCATGACATATTGATGTATTCTTGCAATACAAGGGAAGCTAAGAATAATGCCACATGATTGATTACAAAAAGGCATGGAAATTAAGAGACAGCTCTGATAGTGAGATTGCTTCCACCGCAATCCTTCACTCACAGTACAAACACTCGAAATTATACCAAAAACCAATATGAGAACTAAAAACTTAAACTCAAAGCAGCAAAAAACTCGGCGAAGGACATAAAAGTTGTAATACAAAGTTGTGGGTCAGACTGAATTAAATAGTGTAGCGAACGAATTCATTTGGATTGTGTATATCATTGAGAACTTGACAATCAATAGGTTGGAAGAAGGTGACAGCTCCATTTTAACATGGCATTAAAGATTGAGATTGAAGACTGCAACTAAGACACAAACTCATTTGAGGATAATATGGTGTACAACCAACAGAAGAATCTCAAAACCATTAATCACAATAATTGTTTCTAGTTTTGATTCTGGTTGGAAGGAAATTTATAGAATCCGAAGAATGGAAAGCTAATTGGTATGGTATTAATCTTGAGGTCCCACAGATCATACTACTAGTTAAAGATTAAAATACTCAAGTCTGCAAAGATTAAGCCTAAGGAATTGAACAACAATTCGGAAAGAAAATAACAAAACATCGAAAAGCAAATCTAATTTACTTCATTCTGTAGTTGAATAGCACTCAGATAGTAAAGAGGAGTCAAGAATCGTAAGAAGAAAACCTGTATTCCTTGTAACGATCAAAGGAGTCGCCACTCCAACCCTGAGTCTTATCAGACGCCATAACCGAAAACGAAATCAAGCAAACCGCCACTTCACACACTCTAAAACCTAAAGCCGCCTTCGTCAACGCATCGTCCTTCGACCTCCTCGACATCGGCGGCATTTGCTTCGGCGATCTCTCACCTCCACCACCGCGCTCCCCGATTCCACCTGCAGCCGGCCCTACTTTGGTCACCGACTGCGGCACATCCTCCTTCATTGCCCTATTAAACATAACCTTAGACGAAGTCGACCTATCTCCGGGAAAGCTCACATTCTCCGGCGTCTTCCGGGAGCTGGCGTAGGGAGACGGAAGCGGCGAGAACTGAGTACTCTTATCGACAACATCAACGGCGACAATCGCCTTGGAGTTATCTGTCTGCTTCTCAGGGGAGGTATCGGGAGAGGCATAAGGAGGGGTCTCCGGAAGGTCGCCGACGTCGAATCGGAGCGGCGAGTGGAAGCGCAGCGGTGAGTGTGGAGATTCCATCTGACTGTGAACCGATAACTCGGAATTTCTCGACGACGACTTCCTCATGGATGACGAGTCGTTCGATTTCAATTTAGCCTCAATCATTTTTCTTCCAACCTCGAAGGATTTTATTGAAAGATTTGCGGGAAAAATTAGTTCACAAAGAACGAAAAGAAATAAATAAAATAAAATAAAAAGGAAAAGGCTGTTTGGGAAGTCGGGAAAAAAAAGGTAGAGAAAGCAGAGGACTTTAGGGGGACTCGTCTCTAAGTTCGCGTTCGTAATTTGGAAGCCACGTGGCATCATTTTATTTGTAGGTTTAAAGTAACGGCGAGAATATATTCCAGTGCGGTACAGTGTACATAAGTTCTGAAGAAGGCGAGCTAATCTTACGTTCAGAATGGGAATAATAGAAAAAAAGAGTCTGGTTACACGTAAGGTTTTGTGTGACGTGGAAGAATTTGATTCGTTCATAGCAGTGGATTCTACCGTATTTTAGAGCCTCTCCGACAAAGTAAAGTGAGCTGCGAAGCCTACGATTCCTTTTTTTTTTTATTTAAATACATATTCCATCATTTAAAACCTTCACTGTCAAAGATGACTACTACTCACTCAAGATTCATCGTCAAATTGAGCTCTGTTTACTCCCACTCTTTACGACGTCGTTTTTTGCCACGTAATTGTTCTTTCAACTTCGAAGGTAATAACATATTCCCTTAATTACTCTAAATAATATCTCAATTAAAAGAAAATTATTAAATAGTTTTTAATTGTTATTAGTTTAATGACGGGCTCCACCTGACAAGTTTAACCTAGAAGATGAATTTCTCGACTAATTATTTTACGAACGTAATTTCAACATCCTGAGGGAGTAGTCGAAGCTCGAAGCTCGAAGCTCGAAGCTCGAAGCTCTCCAAAATTTAAAAGGAATTTGATTCTTATAAGCCGCAATAACAAAGCTTCTCTGGTCCTTGAAAAATGGATTACTCAAGTTACTTGACCCGACTTCATTCGTTCACACCTCCAACAATAAAAGCAAAGAACAATGCGAATTCGAAACCCCAACTTTAATATCTTTTCTCCATGGCATCAAAATATGAGCACACGAACTCAGTCTCCCTCTCGCATCCATAGTATATTCATAAAGGCATCATTTTTGTAATGTTATGTAGTGGACCTTCCTTACTTGCCCACTTCCTTTACAACACGCAACACACCCGACAAAAGCATCCCCTCCCTCTTCTTGACAGATCATCGAAAGAGGAAGCACTACCAATGCCTTTTCTGCTTTTAAGCCTACTCTCTTTACTTTTCATTTCCAATCAACCTTGTCCTTTACCAATGCTTTCAAAAGCTTCCCATAACAAAACTTGGGCATCCATGAAGAAGCAACACCTATACTTTCTATGCTTCATTCAATGTATATTTCCCCTATTATTCACTACATCTCACTCAAATATGTTCTCAGGAAAACAACCCTTCTATGCTAAATCATCACAATTTGATATCAAAGAAGCGCTGGGGGGAAATACGTATCTGGAAGGAAGACTCTTCTTTGCTCGAACCTTTCGTTACAGAGACTAGAACGTTCGTCCGGTTCGGAAGGGAAGTCGGGCATTGCCGTTCCTCTGATTCGGAAAGGAAACTGAACCTAGGCATGAGGCAAGAATCAAGCATGCATCACTCTGGTAACGTCAAGCGGTTGAAGAGTACAAGGAAACTTTGTTCAGGAACGACGTAGAGAAACCCGAGATCTGCACCTTCGACGTATGGACCGATACCCTGCAAAATTGGAGAGGAAGTCAAATGTACTGATACAAGTGATATGGCTCTTATCAGTTGACTTACCCTGCCGTTTAGTTGGAAAAGTTCTCCGTCAACCCATTGTGGATTTCGGAACCCAAATTCAGCTATTCTTCCTTGACCTTTATAACTAGCAACCTGGAAACACAAGATCTTTGAATTAGTCTCAGTCTACAAAACTGGATGACAACGTTATGTCAAGGACATATGGTAAATACCACTCCCAGTTCATCTGGATACATTCCACGGTTGGCGGTGCGGGTTCCTCCCCCAATTCTAGCCCGAAAAGTGACCTAAATTTATAAAAACATCAGGTCCAAAACACCACGACTTATGAACTCAAGACATGGAAACAAAAAGCTTGTCATTGTTCTTAACCAGTAAAATCCTAACAATATTAGAATTCAAACCTGGCCAGCAGGAACATTAAGATCACCAGTCAACTTTACTGCTTCTACATACTCAAAGAACTCCATATCTGAAGTCTTGTCCTTGTTGTCCAAATCATTCCAATGTCCAAATTTTCGCCTCAACTGCACCACCTCAGTGCCATAAGGGCCGAATGCACCAACATAGAGACCTGTTCCACAACAAGTCTCATTAACCATTTACACATGGTGTAGCTAATGTCAAAACAAGAACAAACGACTCACCATCAAATGGATCTAGGTCTCCCCTCGATGTGGTAATCCGACTGAAAGTAGTATATTCAGATAGTTTACTCCGCTTCTGTGCTTGACTGACAGTCAGTTTGACTATCTCCCGAACATTCCTCGAAATCTAGAATAAAGTGATTCAGTAATTTTACAATAAAACAAGAACTTACAAAAGGATGAAAAAACAATTTCTGAACCCACAGCATTGGATATCAACCTCACCTTTGGGGAAACCTTATCAACACCCCAAAATGCCTTGGCGACATCAGCTGGCATAAGCTCAGAAACACCTTGGGCTGTTAAAGCTGCCACTTTGACCTTTGAGACTTTATTGTCTGTAGCATCAAGATCTACGCCTCTCCCAGGATTATGCAGCACAAAAGAATCTCTGTCCATATCCTTAATATAAGCAGGATGGCGTACAAACTCATCCTTGGTAGGAGTCTCTTCACTGTTATGTACAACCCCACCAATATAAAGCTTTATATCTAATTCCTTTTCGTCGTCACCGGCATCGCTATTCTCACCTAAGGAAACTGTCTCGGGCTTAATCTCATCTAACTTATCCATTGCATCATCAGAATTCCCACTAGTCCCCGTTTTCTCATTGTCTTCTTGCATCAATTGCTTGACAGAGTTAGCGTCTTCAATGACTTCCTCGGGAACATTGATATTCATTACTTTAACTTTTAATCCCGGAATTTTCTCTTTCAAAAAATTTATCACTCCCTTTATTCCCTCCTCAGTAGCTTCTTCCGTAGTAATGCTCTTCTCCTCACTTTTCTCCTTCGTGGCTTCATTCTCTGGAACGTCTACAGTAGCTTGATTCTTGATTCCAGATGTGGAAGGGCTATTTGAAGGCTCTGATGGTTGACTTGTTGAGATTAACGATTTTCCTTTGGATCGTTGCAAGTACACAACCTGCAACATATACAAATTGAAATAGTCTCTCATTAACTTTTGGTGTCAGATACATGGTTACAGACAATAGCAATGGATTCTTTTGTTAGCCCACGTACTAAATAAAACCCTTGAGCTTAATTCTAAAAGCAAAGCCTCAGTGCAAGTTATTTAAGCTCTATTCATTTGAACTTGAAGCTGAGACGTCAGCAAAAATTTCAAATGTGAAAGAGAACATGACTACATGAGAAGGCTCATATGAAAGACATAAAATAAATATTTTCACAGAAAAATGGGTAACAATGTTTCAAGTGAGGATTCTGTAACCTGCATGACATATCTCTCTTCATCTTTGACAACAAAAATCTCAAACAATGGAGTTCCTGGCGATGCAGTAACCAACTGTCTGTGACAGACAAGAATTACGTGTGAGTGTTCTCCAAATAATAGCGGTGTCTGTGTTCACAAACGAGACGAAGATCTTACCTTGGACTGTAACCCCTTCCAATAAATCTCCCAACGCCAGGAGTTATGCGTATTAGTCGGCCAAAGGGATCATCTGAATCCTGAGAGTACCCCACCCACCAGCCCACCTGCTCAAAAAATGGTTCAGAAAACATCAATAAATTTTCATTGCCATATATTTCAACTTGATTTCAGCAAATAAAAATAACAGTGATGAGCTTAAGAACATGCTTGGAATAGCTTTCCAGGTGCTTCAAAAAGGGGTTTTGGAAAGTCATTCCAAACAAGCCCTCAAATGTTTTGGGGTAGAATCCTGCAAGATTACCAGTCCACTTCCTGTGCATTTACACAGCATCGACGCATCCTGGTACCGCTCCTCCTCTATTGCACTCTGCAAATCTTTATAAAAATTACATTAGGAGGTGACCATAAAATTGACAATCTTGGTAAGTAATATAAATCTTGGTTTGACCTTCAACTGGTACATGATTTCAGCAACACTGTCCTTTTGTGTAGTTTCGGTAATAGCCAGTTTCAATTTTGCAGCTTCTTCAAAGTCTTCTTTCTCAACAGCCTCTTCAAGTTGAAACTGTAACACACCGACTAGAACTCATGAGCCAATAACAAGTAGAAAATTAATAGACAACACACATACAAAAGAAATGCAATGAAAAGTAAGGAAACACAAATGTAGAGACTAGTTGCTTAAACTACTGCCCACAAACATGTTTTTTCAAACTATTGCATTAGAGGATGAACACAAAATTGCATGACCCTAATTTTTCATTATGAAGCATTAAAACTCAAATCTAATCATCGCCCAAGCAACGAACCAAAACCCACTTGATGAAATCCACAATCATCCCAGTTTCTTGTGTACACAAATAATGACAGAAAGAACTGCACCTTAAGAACAGAGGCAAAGCTTTCTGCCTGTTCCATTTCAGAGAAATAACGACTCCACCTACTCCAATCCCATTCCAAGGAAGAAGAAGATGATGATGACGATGATGACGATGAGTTGCTATCACTGTAGTCGCTAGTATTGCCATTTCCTCTGCAGCGACAAAACAAGGTAGAATTCCTGGGATTCCTAGATGAAGTAAGTGAAAGCTTGCCCTGATTCTGTACAGCAAAACCCCAACTCAAAGTCAGCTTCGAATCATTAGATTTCTTGGTGGATAAATCGAAGCAACAAAAGGGACTGAATTGGAGCATGGGTATTGCTTGTCCAGCAACCCACGAGGTGTTGGCGACCCCCATCTCACAGCTTTCACCGTCTCGGCTCTCCTGACCGCGCCCTCTTCTTCAACAACTTGTTTTTTCTTCTTCTGGTTGGCGCTAGATTTTTGTTTCTGTAGGGGTGAGAGGGAAAGAAGAGAGAAAGGTGAGAGTGAATAAAGGATAGAATCCTTCCTCCCTCGGATAACTTTTTAGCCTGTTAAAAAAAGAAGGCCCATCAGATTTGTAGGTACCCTACATTGTTGCTCCACATGAACAGAGACACCCCTTCTGCTACAACCGAACCGAAAATGAAAGAAACTATATATATAATATTTTTTTGAAAAAAGATCATTTTGGTATTTCAACTTTTTAATTTTATTCGAGCCTAGTCTTACACCACCAAATTGACAATGGAAGCTTATTGATCTCATGTATCAAATCTAGCTTGTCTTTTATTCTATTACCCGGACTCTTATTTTGAACAATGTAGATTTGAGAATATCTACACGTAGATTTTACGACAAAAAAAAAAGAAAAAAAAACTTCTTGGATGACTTATGATGGAATAATTTCTCGAATTAGTTTTAAATAGCTAAACTAAAGAAAGGAAAAAAAACATATCAATTCAATGACACTAATGAAGCTTAAACGAAACATTTCTACAGAATTTGAGTATTATCTCGAGGAGTTGAAAATATAGAATGATATCCAAAACATCCTTCAAGTGGCAAGCCGATTGGTTTAAGTGGAATCAATTCGTTTATTGGCTTCTTTCATAATTGGGACAATGGATAGATGGATTTTCCATGATCATTAGTTGAGTCAACTGACTTGACAGGTTCAATTATTTGGATAAAATAGATGGTCAACAATATTATAGTGGTCAAGTAGTAATAATTGACATTTAACACGGACGTCTTTGAAAAGAAAGAAAGAATATTTCCCACGTCAAATAATCAAAACAAATAAATTGATAAAACGTGATTGAATTTATCAGATTTAAGTCGATTTTATCACTATTTTAAATTTATCCCATGTAATTATGAAGATAACAATGGTTTACATTATTCTACAAATATAACAACAATAGAACGAATTTATGGTTAAAATAAGTAGTTTGGCATAAAAAATCAAACCACACGAAACATACCACAGGAAAAGCATTGAAGTATAAACATATGAACGCACCAGCAAAAAATGTAATTAAATTAAAGATGGGAGTCCTATATTTTTATGTATTAGTTTAGGAAATATTTTAACATGTTATAAACTTATAATTTATTCGTATGATTTTTTGAATAAATTGTGTCAATAATTGCTTAAAGAAAACGTGGGAGCCGTGGTGGCCATATTCTTGGCACTTCCTGATTGGTTCTTTAGTCATGAAAGGGATTCGGAAAAATATGCTAATTTCTTTTATCTTCCCAATGCAGAGGTCCAATGTCATCATGTACAAATAGTCCCGCACAGTCTCGACACTTATCATTCATGAAATTTGTGGAATATTTCTTTTTTTTCTTTTTTTTTTTTTTTTAAAAAAAAAACAAAGAAATAACAAAGTAAGATAAAACCAAAAATATCAGCAGGGTGTCTCTAAAATTTTGCATCCTACTTTATTTAGTCTTCACCCATATTTTCTTTTTTTAGACTTTTCTTTTGGAGCTTTCCCTCAAAGCTTTTAAAACGATCTACTAGTAAGAGCTTTCTCCAACTAACATGGGATCTCATAATCCACCCCAAGTCCGATCACACAATCCACCCCTTGAAGGCTCGCTGGCACACTTGACTGTATTTAGCTCTAGATCTAGCTCTAGCTCTGATACCATTTGTAAAATAATTTTTAATAAAAAGGCTAAATGGAGTGAAATCTAAAGTTGAAACGGGAAAGATCCAATTCAGATACCATTTTTATAAGGTAGAATGAAAAAAATAAAAATGGAAGGATGTCAGTCACCACATTTATTCGTTGAGGCTGCTCCACTGCTGGTGAGGAATGGAGTGCGGACATTTTCCGATAAAATATGACCCGACCTGACCTGAAGATACAAGCAAGCAAAGACAAATTAACACTAAACTAGGTAAACTATGAACTCATTTTTTAATACTACCGCCCGCTTTGCTCTCTTCAAGTTAGTGGAAAAACGTCCGTCAACCAGAGAATTGAATTGAGAAACAACCATCAGCAATTGGAACAGTTAAAACATACCTGTAAAACTAGAAGATTCTCCAGTGGAATCGCAAGATCTGCTTTGAAGCACATGCCCAGTCTCCCTTCCCAGGCGGCTGAATAGTCAAGCACTGAGATCTAAAATTAATTATGATGAACAAGATACAGGTAAAGATGAACAGAAGAAAAAAAATAAGTTTTGCGAGCATGTAAGTAGATTCCTTGGAAACAAAAAATCAAACGTCCGAGCTTTTCTAATACACAGTTGCCGGGATTTGCAAGTGGTGAGATTTGGACACTAAAATCGTTTAGCTTTTACAGGAGCAGTTAGAAGCGGTCAAAATAGAAAGGGAGAAAAACACCCCCAACTACCTAGCATTGTGGCGTGGACTGACTCGAAGACACGGGTCTTACGGGAGACCTTTCCGGTACAGTTTGGTCATGGGAAGATCCATTCTCAGCATTCTCAGCAACTTCCAAAGCACTAGCAGACTCTAAATCACCGTGTGCAACAGTGTTTTCTGTGTGAACAGGCCGAAGCAGACCCTGCAATCTCACCAGATAACTTTGGCTGGAAGGTTGAGGTCTCATATAACGGTTGGCCGTAACAACACTTGCAGATGGCCTTTCAGTATCAGAATGAAGATTGGACAGAGCACTAAGATCAAGGTTTGGGAAAACCGAACAGCGACATCGAGGGCATTTCACATTTAGTCGAAGCCACTCGTCAATGCATCCTACATGGAAATTATGAGCACAAGGGAGGCCACGAACCTGCACCAATTTATAATGACCGTAACTTCATTTTCAATAATTTATTGACCAACAAAAGGTTCGTGCTTTCATGTATTTATTATAACCATGAATCTAGGATTCCCCAACTTCTGTAGCTCAAGGGTTCCCAGAAAGAGCATGAAATGCAGTAAAATACAAATCATAAACAAGCGACGTTCTTTTACACCCACTAGTTTTCCGAACTTCTATAAATGAAATGGAAAGACAAGAAAAATCAATTACCTCGTTTCCTACATGGAACTCTTCTAAGCAGATAGGGCATTCACAGCAATCTGTTGGAACAGCCTTTAACCTGAATTTGGGAAGTTCCTCAATAAGTGCTTCCACAGCTTCCCTCTGTCCAAGCATCAACAAATAGCTTGACCATCAGAATTAAAAACAAAAAATTTGGACATAAATACGGACCCACATAATGGTTTACATAGTAGACAGATTTCTTAAAGAATTAGACAAGACCTCTCATGAAAAATTTAAAGGCGGAGAACCTAAGAAACCAAGCCCTCTTTCGGAAGAACTTCCGAATACACAATGCTCTCATTTCATGTCAATCAACTTCCCTCGAATTTTTAACGAGCTACAGCCACTAAGAGGGAAAATGGTAGCAACAGCACAAAACTACTCTTATGCTAACAGACAACAGGTGTTGGGAAAACCTCACGAATATTGATGACAAAATGTCAACTCAGGCCAAATAGACTTACCTGAGCAGGAGTCAAATAAAGTCCAGGATGATATGCAGCAGCATCTTGGCCCATTACTCTTGTTTCTTGTCCTGCGGCTTCAAAAGCCCAATCAGGTACTCGGATCATGTCAACTAAGACCTGTAATAAAAGACTGTTCACTATCAGTTTTGTCACATGGGCAAAATTATAGAGGGAAAAAAAAATGAAAGACACAAATGTTTATTTGATGCCCGATAAGTATTTTGTCCCTAAAGGTCATGCTTTTCATGTTCTCTTTCTCAAGTCTTTTGTTGATTTCTGTTTAGAAGTCTTATGTCTTAGCCGGAATGTCTTTATCTTTCCATTGTGATTCTCTTTATTTATTTCTTTCGTTTACTGTTTCCAATTTCACTCACCTGTGGAGTTCATATCTTTTATGCATTGGTCTCTTTTTCATTTCATCAATGAAAAGTTTAATTTCTTGTTAAAAAAATATAAGAAAATCAAATTTTCAAATATATATTTTTTTAAGAATAGAACCACAAACTAAAAAAAACCTAAAGTATATATTTATGATTTTGATTGAATCGTAATCCAGTTCAAAATGTCCACTTCAACTTTCTTCATGACCAATTCATTGGGTGTTTGCATTTTGAAAGAATCACCAGGCAAAAAAAATGGTTTTTGTTTTTAATTCAAAGCACAGAATATATTGTAGAAAAAATTTATAAAAGTAGATATGCATATAATATAGGTGATCTATGGACGTCATTACAAATATCAGGCAGAAAAATTGATAACGTAGAATGAAAATTAATGCACATCCTTTAAGTTCCAAAATCTAAGAAGGCAGGAAGCTTAATTGCTTACCCCATATTCTGATACAGGGATCCCTTGTTGCGCCCGAAATAAGAGTGCTTGTCTACGAGTTAACCACTACATGGAGGTTTCAAAGATAAATACGTGAATTTCATGTATAAATAAAGAAAAATATTTGAGAATTTTCAACATGAACTCGCTAAAAAGTGTAAAAGTGGCACATAAAGACAACTGTTAGCCAAGCTACAAATTATTGGAGAGTCTAGACGTAATTCATAATGAACTCCAATGATAATCTGCATAGTAAACATAATAGAACCAACCTTTCCCAATGACATGCAAGCAATGCATACGAGTGCACAGTAGCTAAAAAGAAGCCAAATAAGGAATCCCCATTTCTGGCCTTGCTCAAAAAGCTGACAGATTTAAACCAATACCTCCATAAATATTTAAAAAAAGTATGAAAATTCAAATGGTAGCGATGGGAGTTGAAATAGAAAATAGCATACACATTTATGGGCTTCTCTAAACCATAAAGTACCGATGGCAGTCCAAGCCCAAAGAAATGGATATAGCAGAAGTGCAAGGATTGAAAGGACCACAATTCTTCCACAAAATCGAGCATACCTCTGCTGCCACCCAAAGTCCCTACGATACACAAGTTTAGAAGACAAGAAAATCTCCAATGGCAGAAATATTGCACAAGAAAAATAGAGCGAGAAAAATGTATTGTCAATTAAAATGGGGGGGGNGGGGGGGGGGGGGGGGGAGTAGGCAGGTGTGGATGTATATAACTAAATAATTAATTCAGGGGTATAAACATTTGTCAGTTCTAGACCTCTTGGTCAAATGTAATTGACTTGTATAGAAAAACTTATGCAGCATCCCCATTCCCAAATGAAATAAGGTTTATAGTAATTCAACACAAAACCAGAAAGTGAACATTCATGACTTGAAGCTTCATAATTAGCCCCAAGAGAATAAAACAAATTTGGCAAACAGAACATAATTCTTTAAATCAGCAACAGATGTTCTTTTCTTTTCTTTTCTTTTTCACACTTTGGTCACCATGCTTCTGATGAGGAGTCAAAAGTCCACAATCTTTGCACGTCAGAATCGATGTTTGTTTTGATCTTTGCCCCAAAAATTAAAAACGTTAAGATCAAACCATACCATCCATAATGAAGGTATCGGAGAAACATTTTTCTCCTTTAATTTACTTTCTGACAACACAATATCTCTATAAAGCTTTTCACAAATGGAGAATTAATAGAAGAACTGTACGATTTTGCTAGCCCAAATTGACGTAAAACTATAAGTTGGAAGCCTTACAAACCCATTCCAGCAGCAAGTCCATTATCTACAAACATCAGCAGGCGGAAAACAAAGACGGTAGTATAATCAACCTGTACAACAAATAACAATAAAAAATAAACAAACCAACTATCGTTGAGTTCCAAAAAATTACAAGAGAAAACAACAAATTAATAATAATATCTGATACTTGTTGAAAGTTGAGTACAACTTACCAAAATCCATATATGCAAGGGATGTACACAAGTATGGTACCTCTTCCAGTTGATCGAAACAACTACTCTATCGAGCAAAATAGTTAAAGAAAATACACAAATAAAAAATGTTAAGAGAAAGACATTGCTCTTGAATTTAAAGCATAGGATATGAGTATGTCTCGTTTCAAACTCTAATGCCAAAGAAATATAAAGAGCAAATCCACCCAAGCTTCAAATCATGGCTAAACAATAAGTGGAAAAGCAGACCATAAAAGAAAATGCAGCAGCCATGAGTCATCATTCAACCATTGTAAAAGACTGAAAAGAATCCGATACAAACAAACACTAAAATTCCCCAAAACACTGAAGGATACACACTAATCGCGAGCATCGACAAGAAAAAACCGTCATACCTGCAAAAAGAAGAAATAAGTCGCAAAAGCCTATCAAGCTAACTACGAACTACTGCTCCGGCACCATACTATAGATTATGCTAAAACAGAATTTCATTGAATTGAAGAGCGAGGCCTGAAAGACTCACCACTTGAAATCGACCCCTCGAGCAGCCATAGATGAGAGAAATTTTCACTAGAACAAGCTGGATGGAGAATCACAAACCGCCATACGACGGTGTAGAAGCCTGATCGAATCTGATGGCAATGAATCGGAAATAATCACGAGAACAAGAGCTGGTTCTCGTAGGATCATGGATAGAACAACAGGAGCGAAATTTTGGAGGCAGAAAAAGAGAAATGAGCAATATGAGCAGTAGAGCAAAGCGGTGAGAGACGGGCGGAAATGGGAACAAGACGGAAGCGGAAAACGTAAGACTGTTCTTAACGGAATTTGCAAGCCGTGGCGCCGTTTCTTCGCGGCGTCAAAATTCTAGTACGCATGCAGCTATCCACACGCGGCATTATTTGAGCTACATCGGCCCATAAGCCCAATCCACTTTGGTTTAAGTGGGCCATAACTCATAAGCCCAATAACTCGCTGCACGTTCAGTATATAATATATGGATTTTAATCTTTTAAGTCTCTTATGCAAGGTCGCATCTCAAATCATCTTGGTTTTGAATTATTAAGACTCATATGTCTCAACGCATTGATAGATTCCATCATGCCATCGAAAACAGACCTACTTGTCATTCATAATATCGGGAGACTTAGAACATCCTTCTCTCCAGTGTCCATGTCATGTCATTGATAGACTCCATATTGAATAGCAAGTATATAATCGAACCTCAAACATGTGGGTTGGAGTGCAACGCGAGCATGCTCATGCAACCCAATATTTTCTTTGAAATAAATATTAAAAAAAAGAAAAATTAAGAGTAAAGGGAAAGAAAGAGGGAGTGCAAGGTTTTTAGAGGTTTTGATTCATTTACTTTACTTGGCACCCACCAAAAACGAACCATGTCCTCAGACGTCCTCACCATTGTTTCTTCTTTTCAGCCTTTTCAGCTCTGAAGTAAAGTGAGGCCCCAACCTAATTATTCCTCTGCTGTTTGCTTCGCCATGTCGTTTTACCATTTACTTCTTTTATTCCCTTTTCCCCTTTTTTATTTTTTATTTCTATTTAAATCTTTTAATTAATTCACAGTCCACCTCATTTTAAATTAGTAATTCACAGTGTGCAGAAATCTGGATAATTTCTATATTCAAACACTTTAGGTTGGATTAGTTTATTTATATGTCAGCAAGTTCGTAAACCCATGTAATTTTTTTGTTGGTTCATTCATTTTAGATAACCCAACTCAATTCTATTTATTAAAAAATTAAAAAAAAAAAATCATCTTTTGACTTGTAATTAAGTCTTATTATAATTATTATTATTACTTTTTGGTATTTATGCATGGGAGTTTGGGAATGGCTTTTGTAAAGATACTTGAGTTTTAAACACTTAGTCAAAAGCGCTATTAACTAGACTCTTAAAAAGGCATTTTTTTAAAATAATTTTAATTGTATTTATATTATTTTAATCAATTTAATATTTTTAACCCTATAATTTTATATTAACAAAATTAATTTTTCATCGTTAAAAACATATTTTCGAGTAATTATACAAAAAAAAAACAATAATTTAAATAATTTTAGAGTAATTTATAAAGTGATAGACTAAAATGTAAATGTGTTTGAATTGACGATTAAATATATTTTTTATCACAAAAATATGTATTTTTAAAGAGCTAATATAGCAGGAAAGCTATTTAAAGCATATGTAAAAAAAGGAATAAATAAAAGTTTAATAATGTCTCGGGTAAATATAAAGTTTATTAATATGGTAACTGACATAGTATTAAATGTAATCATAAAGGTGGATAAGCTTTTGTACATGTCGAGACAGTTGAAATAGTTATAAACAACATTAATTAAACAAATAAATAAGTATTAACGAATATAGGGAAGGTGGAAATTAAATTAAATTAAATTTTATATTTATAAAGTGGACCATACCACGCCAAGAACCTTAGTTTAATTCTATTTTGTCCTCATTTGCAACGGAATTATCTCTTTTTTCTCCCTTTCTCAGTGAAGATTTTGAATTTCAAGTGTATTCGTTGAAAATTGGTCTAAATTATTTTGAAAAATAAATAAATTACTTAACCAGGGGTTTTGGAATACATATCACTATTTACAACTGCACATTCATTAATAAATGTAAATATTCAATATATAAAATTTTAAATTTGAACCATAAATATATATTTTTTTTAATCGGTATTGAAAATATTTATTTATAGATGAAATACATTAATTAAATCACAATCATTTAATCATAGTTCACACTGGTATTGATTATTACCACTGTAACAATCATATAACAAAAAATCACTCAATAAATACAAACCCCTGCGAGTGAAATTAATATGGAAGTTCCATTAATAATGTATATAATATTATTTAAGTTTGTTTGAAATTAATAATCATCATATACATGATTATTTATTTATTAGCTTATAATATTAAGCTTTTTTCTGTTAGAATTTAAAACCAATAATTTGACATTTAAAAAATATATTTTTTTTTTAATGAAAAAAAGAAAAGGAAAGAGAATAAAGTTGGGGTAGATTTTAATATTTGAGAAATTAAGGACCATAAAGAAAAATAAAAGGAATTAGAACTGAAATTGGTTGTTTGTTGAAAGGAAGGGTTGTAGGCATTAGTTCAGGTAGGGTTGTGTTTGGATATAAATACGGGTACGCCCTTTCTGTCCGTTTCTCATCTCTGTCTCTATGGACTCGTCAACAATGGTCCATATCGTCTTCTTCCTGCTCCTCTCGCAATTGTCGCTCTCTCTGCTCCATGTAAGAAACACCATAAAAAAACAAACAAACAAACGATTCTCATTCTCATTTCGATTTTTGTTCTTTCTTTCATTTGTTCTAATCCGATCGTCTTGTCGTTTTTGCCACAGGTTTCGTTTGTTTCTGCAGATCAGGCCACATTTAATGCTTCTATCCACTTCAATCCCTTCACGGCCAAAGCTTCTCTGGTTCGTTACTGGAACACGCATGTTTCCAATCAACTTCCGAAGCCTGATTTTCTGTTCGTCAAAGCCTCGCCGCTCTCCGCTGTAGATGCCGCCGTGTTCGCCAAGCACGCCGCCCTAGGCTCGCTCACTTCCCGATTGGAAACGTTCTGTTATTCCGCTAATTTGTTCTGTTCGTTTGATTCTCAAGAAACTTCCGTTCCGCGCTTTAAGGATGCCGATTTCAAATTGTATGGAAATAAAAATTTCAACAACTATGGCGCGGCTCGAATCGGTGGCGCTGACTCCTTCAAGAACTATTCCGACGGGTTGAACACGGCCGATCACTCGTTCAAGCGTTATGGTGGGAACTCGAGTAATCATAAGGAAGGATTCACGAACTATGCGGAGGATGGTAATGTGGCGAACAATAATTTCATCAGCTATGCCGCTGAATCGAAGGGCGGTTCTGGCGAGTTCGTGAACTACGACAAAATCGTCAATGTGCCGAATCTCCGATTCACGGCCTACGATTTGGATTCCAGAGCTCACAAACTATCGTTTACGAGTTACGGAAACGAGACGAATTCCGGAAGTCAATCGTTCACGAGCTACGGCAAGAACGGCAATGGCGTGCCGCAGGAATTCAGTAGCTACTCTGATGGCTCCAACATTCTCACATCGACATTCACTGGCTACGGCGAGTCAGGGAAGAGCGCGAACGATTCGTTCAAGGCTTACGGTCTCTCCAGCAATAATCCGCACTCAAACTTCAAGAACTACGGCAAGGGCGGAAAATCACAGATCGATACATTCTCGAATTACAGAAACGGAGCGAACGTCGGCGACGATAGTTTTCAGTCGTACGCTAAGAATTCGAACTCCGGGAGAGTGAACTTTGCAAGTTACGGACAGTCCTTCAACCACGGTAACGATTCATTCAAAGAATACGCCAAAGGATCGATCGGCCAAACGACGGTCGGATTCAGAAGCTACAGCGTTGATCGGAACTTCACGACGTATGCACAGAAAGGCGTATCGTTTTCTGAATACAGCGCGACGGGGAGTGGCATTAACGTAAATAGATGGGTGGAACCGGGCAAGTTTTTCAGAGAGTCTGAATTGAAGCAGGGGAATGTCATGGTGATGCCGGACATCAGAGACAAAATGCCACCGAGATCATTCCTTCCGAGGGCCATTTTGGTAAACATACCATTCTCCTCGTCAAAGATCTCCGAGACAAAGCAAATCTTCCACGCGCGAAATGGTTCGACGATGGAGCGCGTGATTACCAGCGCGCTGGCGGAGTGCGAGCGGGCGCCGAGCATGGGCGAGACGAAGCGGTGCGTGGGGTCGGCAGAGGACATGATAGACTTCGCCACGGCGGTGTTGGGGCGGAACGTGGTGGCTAGGACGACGGCGAGTGTGAATGGATCAACAGAGAAGGTGGAGATCGGAGAAGTGAAAGGAATCAACGGCGGAGAGTTAACGAGATCAGTATCATGCCATCAGAGTTTGTACCCTTACTTGCTGTATTACTGCCACTCAGTACCCAAAGTCCGTATCTACGAAGCCGATATCCTGAGGCTGAAAACGAACGAAAAGATCAATCGTGGGGTTGCAATTTGTCATATGGACACGTCCTCATGGGGCCCAGAGCACGGCGCATTTGTAGCACTTGGGTCGGGTCCAGGTCAAATAGAAGTCTGCCACTGGATATTCGAGAACGACGTGTCGTGGAGCGTCGCCGACTGAAGGAAAAAAGAAAACTCTGCCGCCCTTTTTTCATTTGTTTTCTTTTTAGTAATATTATTGTTGTTATTATTATGTTTTTTTTTTTCTTTTAAAAAAATGTTTTTAATTCGGGTGGGTTTGGTCAAAATGGAGTGTTTTGGGTCTGACAAAACCGGAATAGAAAAAGAAAAAGGGCAAAAAAGGAAAAAAGAAAAGTGGGGGTGGGGGTGGGGGTGGTGCTGGGAGTGTGTGGGACAGAAAGTGGGCAGAGTGGTGAGTGCAGGAACAGCTTGCGGTGGCAGCTTTGAGTACACCAAAAGTAAACCACCGTCGAAATTCTTATTAATTGTTTTCCCTCCCCCACCTTTTTAATTTCCGAGAATTTAAGGACCAAATCAAAATTAAAAAATTTATAGCTTAAAATTGTAATTATTTCGAAACGTAAATTATACTCAAAGCACCATAAAGGCAATTTGGATATCAGCAGAGCATGATAGTTATCCAGCAACCTTTTACGTTGGGCTTTTTGCAGCTCTTCAATAATGATAGGGACATGCTAAACTTTGATCCAAAACTTGGAACAATGCAATTATTTTTCTAGAGTATACGAAGCAAAAATATAATAAAGACTATAACATTCAAAAATAACAAAAAAAAAAAAAAAAAAAAGACCTATAGTTTGGTCCTTTCATTTATTTTGTTTCTGAGGAATTAATGAGGAGGTAGGTTTCAGTATATTTCCTAGTACATTATTGAATTAATGAGTTAATGAGGTAGGTTTCTGTATGTATCATTTGTGTCCTCCCATTTCAATATGTAAATATTATATGGACCATAACTACTCAACCATGCGTACAAGATTTTCAAGCCATCTGCAGTCGCCAATGATCTATGTATTATAGGAACACGACTCTCCACAATGGTATGATATTGTCCACTTTGAGTATAAGCTCTTATGACTTTGCTTTGGGCTTCCCAAAATGCCTCATTCCAATGGAGTTAGTATTCCTTATAAATCCATGATCATTCCCTAAATTAGCCGAGGTGAGACTTTCATCATCCAACACTATATACTCATCGTCCAGCTGAAAGTTTGCTAAGCTGTGTTTCCCTCATTTTTATTTTTTTATTAGTCAACACATTTTTTTGCAAGATGGCTGATGAATTGTATAATTATATTTTTTTAGAAAATTATAAACTAATATGTTCGAAAGTTTAGAAATCAAAATATATATATATTTTTTTTTTGTCTGGTTAACCAAATGGTTCACTTCTTTTATGTTGGACAAAGAAGCATACCCCACATCGGTCTTACTGCGGCTGGTGGCACCAAGTTAACCGGGTAAGTTAACCGGGTAAGTTAACCGGGTAAGTTAACCGGGTTTTACCTATCTCTTATCGTCCATCTCAATCCCGAAAAAAAAAAAAAAAAAAGAGTTCAACCCATAATAGTTGCTTAAATTGAAATAAAACAATTAAAAATATATGGAAGTTTTTTAGCAATAGGGCTGATTTGCCTTCTTCATGGATCAGTCACTGGGCCGATAATGGGCCAAGAGAATGATTGAGGAGAAGAGGCCCGTAGAGCGTCATAATATATGGGCTTAGGCCCAGTTTTGTTTTCCGAATATACAAATATTATGATTTAATGAAATATATATTGAATTAAAGACATGGGCGAAATCTAAATAAAAATTATAATAAAAAGAAAATAATCTTATATTTTATACATCTAGCTTCCCAAATTAAATTTAGAACTATTTTATTTGGTTCATGGTCAAGAAAAGCTATTTTCCTCCAATATTTATTTTTGAATTTTCAAATCACGACTCATGTTACCAAAACCTTTGTCCTATTTATGGAAATAAATCAATTAATATTATCATATGACGTCCACTCTTTTAATGCTATATTTGTTACATATATCAATGTGTCCAATTTAATAATTAATATAAATTAAATAACGTCAAGATTACCTGTTGTCTGGACGTAAAAAAATTATTCAACAAAAGCTTCATTTTTAATTTAGGTCTAACACGAACATAATCTAGTTTTATATAAACTTATGGTTCGCTCTCTTATCTCTAAATTTAAGTTGCTTATAGCATAGATGATTATGCTCAAGTCTCTAACCTCGTTCTTCAAAGATGGTTTTAGAAAATAGAATCAATTTTGGAAAAATGTCCGTAAAGCAATGTTAAACGCTAGCAAGCAATAATCAACAAAAAGGACATTGATAGTTGTATAGCTCGGGTAAATAGAATTGACAACTAGTCACATCCCGTGTAGTAAATTTTAAAACATTTTAGTATTGACAGGTGTGTAGGTGTGTACGTGATTTTGGGTAATAATTCTACCCCAAATTATTTAACCCAAAGAATCGAGGGATAGTTGGAATTTGAGGAAATGAAAAGGAAGTTAATTAATTAATTTTGACATCAATAATGTGAGGTTAAGGTTTATCGATAATAAAATAAAACAACGGAAGGATTAAGAAGCTCAATTATCTGACTAAACGGAGTTATCTGACGTAAATACATGTTTAATAAAATTAATTATTTTATTCACAAGTCCTGATCTGTTAATTGGCTGGGAACGGGGAAAAATAAAATAAAATAAAATAAAAGAAAGGAAAAGAAAAATAATAAATACAGAAGGAGACCGAAGTGGGTCAGAAGCACACGTTATGAGCAGGCAAATTCATGTGCCCACATGGATGATTGGAGGAGCCATTGCAGAATTTGTGGAAACGAAGAACAGCAGAGAAACAACAGCGATTCGAGCAAGAAGAAGAACCACCAAAATTTGAAGATACTCTGAATTTCTGAATTGAATCGATCAATTTGTTGCCTCCTGCGCCGATTCCTGCTAGTGCTAGCGCTAGCGCTCTGATTTGTTGATAGTTAGAAAGAAAAAGAAATCGGAAATGAAGGAGAGCAATGATGGATTTGTGCGGGCGGATCAGATTGATCTGAAGAGTTTGGATGAGCAGCTTGAGAGGCATCTTAGTAGAGCCTTGACCATGGAGAAGAACAAGAAGAAAGATGAAGACGGTAATAGCTTTCTCACTTCTGCAACCATTGCTCGCAGTAGGTCTACTAAAGTCGCCGCTAAGGAGCGGCAAGAGTGGGAGATCGATCCGTCCAAACTGATAATCAAGAGCGTCATTGCTCGTGGTACTTTCGGCTCCGTCCACCGCGGCGTTTACGACGGACAAGATGTCGCTGGTCAGTCACCGATTTCCTACGGCAACCTTGAACTTTTGCCCTATTTTTAATTACTCTCAGAGTTGCTCTTACTATAATTACTTTGTTTCTGAGTTCTTGCTTCGTGAATCCTGATCGAATTTCCCACTCCTGATCTTTAAGAATGCTTATACAGACTACAGTTTATGCATTGGTTTTCTTTTTCTTTTCCTTTTCTATTTTTGTGAATTTCCTTTACCTTGTTTCCAATTATTTCAACACTCTCGTTTTCTTCTCTTAATCGTCTTAAATTTCATCGAAATTATTATTTTTGTCTGCACTGCTGATTTATTTTGAACACATATGGGTTTGATTCACTGGTAGTTCTTTGAAATCTCATACCAATTTTGCACCTACCTCATTGGAACCCGTTTAGTGATTGTTTAGACCTCTTTGGGTTTACTTTTTATTTTAGACATGTTGCCACTGCCATGGAGTGGTGATTGGCCATTTGAACTCTCTTTTAGATGATCCGTGATGTATACACGAGATTGAGTTGAATTATGGCCTGAATGACTTTGTGTGAATAAAGTTTTGAACTTTCATGTGATTCCAGCTGTTGGATAAAATTGACCTAGAAAAGCTTCTATAATGAATTGGCTATTACTGCTAGCCAATACATATTTGTATTTATTTCGGTATTTACATCATTGTCTTCTACATATTTTAATGCGATCATTATCCTTCATTATTGTAAGCTCTGTTCACTTACTCATTCATCACTCACTCATATATTTTTTAGAAATATTATCTTAGTTTGTAGTTCTTTAAGGTTACTGGGTTGCAGTTGGTTGCTACAACCCACTGAAGTTTTCTGTTGACTTTTTAATGCATTAGTCAAGTTGCTGGATTGGGGAGAAGAAGGCCACAGGACAGAAGCTGAAATTGCTTCACTCAGGGCAGCTTTTAAACAGGAAGTTGCTGTTTGGCATAAACTAGAGCATCCCAATGTTACTAAGGTCACTACAGCTTCATTGTCTATTTGCCTACTTCTTGTGATTCTGAAACTTGAAATAGATGTCTTGTTAGATGCTCTAGTTCTAACCCTCAATTTTCTAGACTTATTGATATTCTATCAAATCAATTGAATGCGCTTCTAATAATTTTCTCTCTTTTGAAAGATGCTGACACTATAGAAAGTAAACAGTTCATAATCCAATAACCAGAAACGATTCCTTTTCCTCCTCACGCACCCTTCTTTTCTGATTTTTGCGACAAAACGATCCAAAAGCTCAGACCGCTCCTCTCGATCTTATGAGTAGAATTAGAGGGAGATCTTAGATCAACAGTGCTTCGGTGTTCGAATTTGAGCATTTTACCTTCTTCTGCTTCTTCTTCTTCTTCCTTCAAATTAATTTTATTGTAAAAAGGTTTGCTTTAATCCCCCCTAGCCTTCCGTATAGACCATTGAGAACTCTTTTTGCATGAACTTCAAGGTTCAATTAAATCTCTTCTACTGGTAGCTCAACCGAAAATGTTCAGTTGCGTTAATGGATTCCATCTAGAAATCTAAACTCTCTCCACCCTTGTACTTTTTTAGAAGGGGAAAAGAAGTCAACTGAACTAAATTTTATCCTTGCCAGAATAGAACTCGACAAAGCCAAAATGCATGTTGCTCACATGGAGGGCTTCAATCAGATAAAAAAAATGTCTTTGCATCTTTTGATAGTGGAAAAACTAGCGGCTTTATCCAGACTCTTAACTTATCATCTTTCCTTCTTTTCCCCTTCCCCCTTTTTACCTGTCGTTGTGGAGGGGGAATTTTCAAGTATTTTTATTTTATTGTTCAGAAAGTGACATATCAAACTCGATGTGCTTATTCCATAATTAATGCATTACTTTGTGTTATTTTTTTGTGGCTTTGGTTTCTAGTTTTGGTTTTTTCACAGCTTGCAATTGATTTTCAGTTTATAGGGGCAACAATGGGCTCAGCGGAGTTACAGATCCAAACTGAAAATGGCCTAATAGGCATGCCAAGCAACATATGCTGTGTTGTGGTGGAATATCTTGCCGGTGGTGCCCTTAAATCTTATCTCATAAAGAACAGGAGAAGGAAGCTAGCTTTCAAGGTGGTTGTCCAATTGGCACTTGATCTCGCTAGAGGGTACCTTTGCTCACACGATTCCTTCTGTTCTTTAGTCTTAACCTTTTATTTGAGAATAGTATGCACTTGCTTATCCTTGGCTCTTAGAAAGTGTTCCATTTATTTTATTAGGTTGAGTTACCTTCATTCACAGAAGATTGTTCACAGAGATGTAAAGACAGAAAACATGCTGTTGGACAAAACACGTACAGTAAAAATTGCTGATTTTGGTGTTGCTAGAGTTGAGGCCTCAAATCCCAACGATATGACCGGGGAGACTGGGACACTCGGTTACATGGCTCCTGAGGTACGCAATTTTTCGACTTTTTAGCCAACCCATAAGACATTTTCGAGCATTGTCCATGAAATGTTTCCCCTTGATTCCGTAGTTGTGTTCCTCATTCACTACATGGAAACTAGAAACCTTCACAAAGACATCAGAAAGATGATTTTGCTAAATTTTTAGGGGTCTATCTGGTTACAGGTTCTCAATGGAAACCCATATAACAGGAAGTGCGACGTATACAGCTTCGGTATCTGCCTGTGGGAAATCTATTGCTGTGACATGCCATATCCTGACCTTAGTTTCTCCGAAGTGACTTCTGCTGTAGTTCGTCAGGTAGATTCTTATGCCCTTAGTTCTTCATATCTGCAGGACAATGTAGTTCGTTATTTTGAACTTATCAAAGTTAATCTCAAAACACTGCAGAATTTGAGGCCAGAGATACCGAGATGTTGCCCGAGCTCCCTAGCGAATGTGATGAAGCGTTGTTGGGATGCAACCCCGGACAAGCGGCCCGAAATGGATGAAGTAGTTTCTATGTTGGAAGCCATTGACACGTCCAAGGGTGGAGGTATGATCCCTGTTGATCAAGCTCAGGGTTGTCTATGCTTTCGAAAATATAGAGGACCCTAAAGATTTGTTTGTTTGTTTGAATTGAATGAGAAAATGTGATAAAATTATTTTGAAGATGAAAGGGAAAAAGCATCATGTGATTGTGGTAATGAGAAATAGAAGTAGGAAAAGAAAAATATATTGAGGTGAGGCCAGTGGTAAAATAGATGATGGTGGTGGGTACATAAACAACCAGGGACTTTGCTGCCTTTCACTTTGCCATTTGATGTAAGCCTTTTGTAATGTCATTAATTGAATGAATTGTAAGATTGAAATACAAAAATCTTATTTTTCTTCCTCTATTCATCTCATCATTTCTATCTTAGTTCACCTGAAACTGCTTTGCCTTCCTCTCCATGGATGGTTTCCCGAGTTAGAAAAAAATCTTAAAACCATGAAGAATTGTCGTTATCGTTTGCATCCGAGTCGTTATCTTCTTCATTTTCATCTGTGATGGGTTCCTTGGAAAAAGCATACAAGTTTTGATAAACAAACCAGCTTTTTTTTTTTTTTTTTGCAAAACTTGGTTTGGAGATAGAGATATCAGCTTATTGAAATGGATTGAAAGTTCTTGAGCCATATTATCCACCATATATTTCAAATTATTGATGTCAAGTTAGTGAAACATCACATCAATTTGAAATTATAAAAGTGATACAGAACTAATAATTTGTTTATTTCATCATTAAAATATTATTCTTGTTTTGAATTTTACAAATAATTGTTTAATTTTCTATTGAAACAGCATTTGAAATTAATTTAATACAATCTAATCATATTTTGTTTTTGGTCATTTGTAAAAATAAGACCCTATGATAATATTGCAACTTTAGTAGTATTTTAAAAATAATTTTACTTTTTTTTTTTTAAAAAAAATAAAGATTATTATTTAATTAAAAAAAAAAGAAGGGTATTTCTTACCTCTTTCGAGCCGATCAAAAATATATTTGAGTACATAAATTACTAATTATCATCTATAAGATCGAGTGAGTTATGTTTCTAGAGACTATGACTATTGAAATTTGATTAGCTAAATCAATGTAAGCATCACATAACACAAACTGAATGATGTAAATGTTATTTACTAAGAGATGATTATTGAATTTATTTACCACATCATTCACAAAAGAAATTTTACATGGCAATTGAAGTATAAGCAAGTCTGAACTTTCCTAGCCCAGATTTAGAATTTGAATTAAGCTTTTTGTAAGTATACATGAAATACATATTATCATTGTTGTGTAATTACACCTAATGATTGCTGAAGATTATGTAGAAAGTAAACAATTATGTTTTTGTCTAATCTCTTGGTTTTGTGGAATGAGAGTTTTGGTTACTTTGGGAAACTCAACTCCCATCTCGGAAAGCAGAGAAATCTGGTTCCTCAGGCTTAAACAGCTTAGGCATTTTCAAGCTGCTGACATCTGAGACGAATGCCAACGACTTCTGGTGAAGCCCTCTTCTTGTATTTGCTGCAAACTTTGAAGCCAACATTGTTATTCCAAGATGTGGGGATTTCTTTTTAGTGGTATTTTTGGAGCCACTGGCTTCACCACCACCACCACCTCCTTCTTCACCTTCCATTTTACTGCCAATGCTGTTCTCTTGGTCCATCATTGTTGCGTAGTACAGCTCCTCATGTCTTGCTAACTCCATAGCTAGCTTTCTTTTCACATACCTTCTCCAAGCAGCTTGTATGAAGCAAGATCCCCATGTCCTCCACTGGTGGGAATAGTATCTGAAAGCATGCTGGAGTTTCTTGCTGTGGAGGCGCTTGAACTGGCTGGCTACAAACTTGAGATCTTCGGCTCGAAGTGCGAACGCCTCGACTTCAGTGAGCGACTTCACGGTTCGAGTTGAGGAGGGTAAGCTTATGCTGGGGGATGGGACTAAGGCCCATGTTAGTAGCTCTTCACCGCAGAAGTCACCAGCTCTGAGGGTGATGGAGTTGAAGAATCCTGACCTGCCACCATTGGTGGTGGAGCTCTCTAGTTGGCCTCTGATGATGAAGAGCATTTCATTTACTGGATCTCCCTCTCGGGTTATGAATGTGTCTTTAGTATTCAAGGATTGAACAAGACGCTCGCATATGGCATCCAATAGCTGAGCATCCATTTGTGCAAAAAAAGGAACCTGAGAAGAAGTATATGTAAAGTATGGTTGGGTGGTGGCTAATTTAAGGAAGGATCATGAGTTCATAAGCAAGGAATACATCCTCGTTGATATAAGGCCTTTTGGAGAAATCCAAAAGTAAAACGCTTATGCTCAAAGTGGACATACCATTGTAGAAGTTTGTGATTCCTAAATGTACGGTAGCCTTATTGGAAGTGAGAACTGAGTAAGAGGACAGCTACTTTAAAGAGGACTTACACGGCGAACAAGTGCGAGAGAAAGATGCCTCTGAATTTGACGTCGAAGATCCAAAGGTAAAGAGCGCAAGATCGACTCTTCGTCGACACCTCGAGTTGCAATCCATTTATATTGAACGAATCGACGAACTCGGTCTTGCAAGTGAATGGGTAGCTGTCGATGCCTCATCCATTCCTCTGTGTCTCTTCGTTTTACTCTCCACTCTTCAAGTCTTGCAGATGTGGATTGCAGATAGCCCTTCAAGAACACAAAGAAGGAAGATAGATATACATTGACACCTTTTGATACCACCATGGAATTGGGTGTAATTAAAGGATAAAAAGTGGTTCTTCCAGTAAATAAAACCAACCCTCTGTGCTATTTTCGTTTTCAGATATCATACCTGCACTTGACCTATGAGGTGTGAGAACAGAACCAACCCCATTGAGCAAATCAGAATGCTAAATAAAATTTCACCACTAGAAGTGCTGGTCGCTAAATTTTGCCCATATGAACTGCAGAAAAAAGTTCATAAACAGATTGAATACGATATTATCCGAGGTACGTTTAAGCCTGCAAAGTTCAGCCTATGATTTCACTCGAATACTTTATAGTAATGAAGATTTGATCCACTTTTCGGCATGGGCATGGGCATGTTTTGGTGAGGATTGCTAGGAGAAGAGTCTCACCTCGATTAATTAAGGGTTGATCATAGGTTTATAAGTAAGGAATACATCTTTATTGATATGAGTCATTTTGGGGAAACCAAAAATAAAGTCATGAGAGTTTATGCTAAAAGTGGACAATATCATACCATTGTGGAGGTTCGTGATTCTTAACATGGTATTAGAGTCATGCCCTTAACTTAGCCATATCAATAGAATTCTCAAATATCGAACAAAGAAGTTGAGCCTCGAAGGTGTAGTAAAAAATGACTCAAGTGTCGAACAAAAAGTGTATTTTGTTTGAGGGCTCTAGAGAAAATGAGTCGAGCCTCGCTTAAAGGGAGGTTGTTCGAGGGCTCCATCGGCCTCATGGGAGGCTTTATGGTGTACTTTGTTTGAAGGGAGGATTGTTGGGAGAGGAGCCCCACATCAACTAATTAATGAGTTGATTGTGGGTTTAAAAGTAAGGAATAGATCTTCATTGGTACGAAGCCTTTTAGGGAACCAAAATATAGCCAAACATGTTTCACATCCACACCCCAACATGATTATTCAGTTAATTATTAAATAACATCGTTAAACATCAAAATAATTGAATCCAACAAAAGCGTACCTCAAACTCTTAAGACCAAACCAAAGGCAGTAGAAGTACTTCTCGATGAAGTTTGTTGAAGCAACTTCGGCAGTGAACGCATCAGCAAACATCCCAAACTGAAAATTCTTGTCGTCATTTAGGGCATCACATTTTGTAAGAACATGAGTAATTCTTAGCCACGCTTTTCGTTCTGGCTCATTCAAACTATCACAGTCCAGAAAAAAAGGCTTACAAGAAGGAGAATGCGTGGTATTCATCTCCTTCCTACATTCTATCTTCCAGCACTCATCCTGCCGCTGAATGGATGCCACATACCACGCAGCTCCTATAATCTGCACTCACAAATCGCACAGAATTAAGCAGTAGTAAGAACTGGAAAGGAGAACAAATTGAAGAGAAGCAAAGCAAGTACATGGCTAGCCAGCAAATAGAGAAGCAGATTGTAAGCTGCACCAGCCCACGCAGTTTTGGCTATTGATCCGGTGGTCTTATTAATTCGTCGGTTCAGAGGAAATATAACAAACAGTCTGGGGGCATATTGAATTAGCACAATCAAAGCAAGAGTGTGGTTGGCATGGGTCGCTGTTGGATTTTTTAACGCTGGAAGCACGAACCAAATCACAATCTGCCATAGCAAACAGCATATTTAGTTTCATTATCAGCCTCGAATCAGGAAATTCGTACATCAGCTACGAGTTTCAGTCTATTTATATATGCATATCACCAAGATTCAGGCTAAACAGCTGCAAATTCATTAACAACAATTTTGATTTTCGGAAGCCACAGACATGATCGATCCAGAGTTTCATTTTCCCCAAATTACAGGATCTCGGAAGACAATACCGAAGAACGTAAAATTAGGTACACGCTAAACCGAAACCCTAATCGATGAATTAAAGAAGACTGGATTCACCTGAGGCAGGGGAAGCGTAGCGGCAAGATCGATGACAAAATCCTTCTTGAGGTAGCGCATAGCAATTGCCGTAGGGTCCTTAACGAGATCTCCACGGCCAAAAACCCTAGAATTTGGCGCAACGAAGGCGGTGCGAAACTTCATAAGCATATGAAACATGGAGAACAAATCGACGATGGTGCGGAAGAAAGTGACGACGATGCCAAGTCCGAGGTTGAATTGCATACAACCAGGAGCTCCGATGAATGGAAGATAAAAGTAGAGAGGATCGACGAAGAGCGCGATCAAGCAAGTGACGAGGAAGATGCGGTGCCATCGGAAGACGAAATCGGAATCTGGTTCAAGAATATGATCCCACCAAGGCACTTTCCGGTACAGAGAAAAGGATTTTTGAAGGTCGCCCAAACGAGAATACGCAATGTTATGCATTTTTCCATTGCAAAGACGAAAAATATGATCACAGACAGAGACATGAAGGATTTTTCGAAGATGAACAGAGAACTGCGGAGAGCCAGAGGGAGTTTTGCTCACGATTTTTAGCCCTCCCCCTCTATCTTTACACTTCCATTTTCCCAAAATGGCCGTTTTTTGCTTTTATGGATATTACCATGCGCGCCAAAATTTAACTACTTTACCCAACTTTTAAATTTAGATTTATTATTTTATTTTATTTTATTTTATAGAGACCATATAACCTAAACTTAGTGCATAAAATTCAACTATTATCCGAGCATATAATTTTTATTATATTATAATATCCCAAATACTTGTCATAATAATCTATCTTAATAGATTAACACAGATTTCATTCCCCTTCTTAACTAATGTGGGATCTCACAATCTACTTGTTTGGGGCCTATCATCCTGTGAATGTTTGATTAATCCACCACACCTAAATGGTGTGAAAGTTATCTTATTTATAATCAAATAAATTACAAGGATATGGAAATAGTAATAAATGGAAATAACAATAAATGGAAAGATACCTATGATAATAAAGCAAATATTAGATATTTGCCTTATAATAAAATATCAAATATAATATATATGGTAAACTATAATTTATTACTAAATATCCTTAACACATCCTCACTGTCACACCACCATTTTTTGGCTCTAATACTATTTGCAACGGCTCAAGTCCATCGCTAGCCGATATTTGTCAGTTTCATCAAAACATATCTACTAGGGAGAGGTTTCCACACTCTTATAACAAATATTTCGCTCCCCTCTCCTACTAGTATAGGATATTACAGAACTTTATTTTACAATAATTATTAAAATAAAAGCGCAGGTTGGTACAATAATATATATATATATATATATATAATTGAAGTGTAATGATTAAAAATGATAAGAGTTTTGAAGATATATATACACACACATACAAAGAGCATTTGGGGTTAGTGATCCCCCATTTTGGAGGTGATAACAAATCTATCCATTTCAAAAGAATTCATCATCACACGTGTTGATAATGTACAATAAAGTGTATTTTTGTATCAACTTTGTCAAATACCCTCTCAATCCCAACAAATCTTAGTGGGCATAACAAGGCATGCTCCGATTATCATCGATACGATTCTTGTCGAGATAATTCAAAAAGTGCTCGTGCAATTTCATAAGGTTTAACTTGAGTTTGAGTCGAGCATGTTCGACGATTAAGCGCCCATGTTCTTCGATAACAAGCTTTTTTTCTTTTTTAATATAATAATACATGGATCAAAAACATCCATCATCATGTTTCATTCCAAATTCAAAGTTAGAAAGGTAAAGAGTTGATTAGCCGACAGTGTGTTGGATCCGCATAATCCTTTAGGATTGGTTTGGCGAACAACACCCGACATAAAAAAATACATAAAATGGTAATCATAAACACATGGAAGAATTTAAACAACCAATTTTTTTTTAATAAATCTCAGCCATTTATTGCAATGATGAAGAGAGGAAAATAATAATACAACCACATATATATATATATATATTAATTTCTATCATCAAAACATGAGCAAGATTTGGTAAAGGCCCACTATTTTGGCACCAAATTTGATTCTATATAAACCCTAAAACCCAATCCCAAAGTCTAAATTTTTTAGACAGAGTTTGAGGAAAAATAGAGAAAAAAAAACAGCTTTTTTTGTTCAATGGCGATGGAAGCAAATGGGGTTGTTTCTTTTGCAGATAAACTGTTGTTTAAGCAGCAAAAGGAGGAAGCTTTCAACAATGGCGGCTCTCATCTTCATCTTGCAGTTGCAGAAAAGGTTGAAGATGACTCCATTAATGGTGTACCTCTCAACCATCCAAGCATTCCTGGTTGGTTCTCTGAGCACTGCCCTCAATGGCCAGGTGGGTTTTTTTTTTTCCCCTTAATTTTCCCAAGTTTTATTCAAATTTTAATTATTCAAAATAAATATTGAATATGAGTTGAAAATTTATTTGTACAGGACAGGCACACTTCTTAAAGGTGGACAAGGTTTTGTTTCAAGGCAAATCTGATTACCAATCCATGTTGGTTTTTCAGGTACTTGGCTAGTTTAAACTCAAGGAAACCCGAGAACCCTCTTCACGCATGTTTAATTACCAAAATACCCTTTTTGATAAACGTACGAGACTAAGATATATAACCGGCTGAGTTATGTTTAGATTTATTAATCGTGAATTAAAAGTTAGGGAAAAAGGTAAAAAAAGTAATGGTAATTAAATAGTTTAATAAGAGTGAGAGATGTTTATAATTAAATGCAGTCAGCAGCGTATGGAAAGGTGTTTGTGTTGGATGGAGCACTCCAACTCACCGAGAAGGATGAATGTGCTTACCAAGAAATGATTACCCATCTTCCTCTTTGTTCTATTCCAAACCCCAAAAAGGTAATTTCCTTTCCTCTATTTTTTTTCTTTTTTTTTTTTAATAAATAAATATTATTCTTGACCAGGTTTTGGTGATTGGGGGAGGAGATGGTGGCATCCTAAGAGAAATTTCTAGGCATTCTTCCATTGACCAAATTGATATTTGTGAAATTGATACGATGCTCATTGAGGTTAGAGCTTCGATTTATCCAAATTTGTATCGGTTCATTATGTTTAAGATTTTCGATCGATCGATAATTTAACTGAATAATGATTGTTTTTGCAGGTGTACAAGAAATTTTTTCCAGAAATTGCAGTTGGGTATAAAGATTCTCGAGTGAATGTTCATATAATAGATGGTTTGATTCAAATTTTTTTCTTTTACCATTCTTTTTAACTATTATTATTATTATCATCATCATCATCATCATCGGGACTGAAAGAGTGGTTTTGTTTGGAAGGAATTGCATTTTTGAATTCTGTTACACCAGGAACCTACGATGCAATCATAGTGGACGCGTTCGATCCAATAAGTACAATAAAAACTCTCTTATATTTATCAATATTATTTTGGTAAAAATTGGAGGGTAAAAGTGTAAATATTTTGGATGGTTAGAGCCGGATGACGAGGTGGTGAGAAGTAGGTTGTTTGAGATGGTGGGAAAAGCACTAAGGGCAGGAGGAGTGCTTTGTATTCAAGCAGAGAGCCTTTGGTTTCATTGTCTTGACATTCAAAATTTGATCTCAAAATGCCACCAAGTCTTCAAAGGCTCAGTTCAATATGCTTGGACCATTGTTCCTGCTTATCCCAGGCATCAAACTCTACTCCCTTTTCCATTCAAATCATTTGTTCAAGCTTTCCAAGAAACAAGAAAATCTTAGGAATGTTGTTTTGTCTTGTCAGTGGGGTTATCGGTTTCTTGCTGTGTTCGACTCGAGGACCCAAAGTTGACTTCAAAAACCCGATCAATCCCATCGACTCAAACCAGAATTTTGGAGTTGCTACCAAACCCTTGAAGTTTTACAACTCGGAGGCAAGCTTCCTCTTTGATCTTTCTGTTACTCTCGTTATTTACTATGAGAATGACGGGTGAAAATCTGAACCATCGACCTTTTTTTCAGGTTCACTCGGCTGCATTTTGCTTGCCGTCATTTGCAAAGAAAGGGAAGGGGTTGGATCCAAATTTAAACGTTTGAATTTGCCACTCCCTTTGGATCATCAACTTCACTCTTTAGTCCTTCATCTTTTTTACTTTGTCAGAGATTTCCCATTATTTTTCTTAATTACTACTTTTGTTTATGCGTTTTCCCTTTCGAATTGGTATTGGTATTGGGATCAACTTTTCTCCAATAAAACATATTGATTAAGCTCCGAGATGAAAAACATCCCTGACAATTTTTCTCCAATACATATGTTTTAAAATTGTGAGGCTGACGGGTATGCATAAATAGACTTATAAGTAAAGAATAATAATAAAGCCAATAATGAGTGTGATTAGTAGGGTGAGAAAAGCATATTTATCCCAACATGAAACGAACATTATAATTAAAAGGTTGACAGAAATGTAATAATTAAAATTTTAAAATAAAATCAATAAATTAGTATCCTAAGAGATTTTTTAAACCCTGATAATTATATAATAAAATCATTATCCTCCGACTAATAGGCAATTGGGTTGGTGGGTTCGAGGCTGGCCCAACCCTTTTGGCCCATTTATCCGAAAATATGGGCCGGATCAAGCCCATTTACCCGTCTATAAGATTAGTTGGTTTGTGTAGTGGATAAAATTAAAAGGCAAAATACAATATTAAGAAATACAAAATGGTTTTGATAAGAAGTCGACAATAATTGCACGTAAAGAATTTTAAAAACCCTTCTTTTTTTTAATGTCACAATCACCAACCACTATATATACTTGGAATTCTCTTTATTCCATTTCATAAAACGCCACCCATCTCTAAACTTTACTAAATACATAAATTTCCTCAAATTTTTAATTTTCAATTATATTCGAATATGCTTTTTTTCTTTTTTTAAAAATAAATTTTAATATAGGTGAAGAAATTAAATATTGTTTGTTTATTTATTTATCTCATCGAATATATATATATATATATATATATTAATTAAAATTTTGAGGGAAAGCCTCAAATAAAAAGTCACAATATTTGCTATGGGTGGATTTGGGCTATTATAAATTATATTAGAGTCAGACAGGCAATGGACTAGCTAGGAGACTGAGCCCGGATGGAGATGCACACGAGGTGGTGCGCCAACAAAGACGTTGGGCCCCGAAAGAGGAGGATTGGGAGTCCCACATCGATTGGAGAAGAGAACGAGTGTCAGCGAGAATGCTAGATATGAAAGGAAATGAATTGAAGCGTTTTAAAAACCCTGAGAGAAAGCTAGAAAAGAAAATCTTAAACGTAGATGGAAAAGTCTAAAAAAATATAATATGGGATACTAATAGCCTTCAACTGTTACATGAACTAATTTAATTAAAATAGAAAAATAAAAATTTAAAATTTAAAGGATAAATTAATAAAAAAAAAATTGTAAAAAAAAAAAAAAAGGAGAAATAGAAAGGCCACGTCATGGGAAGAAAGGATAAGAGAGGAACATTCGATTGTCCCATCAAATCAAAAAGGGATGGGCCCCACTTTCTTGCTTTTAACGGATGAGGACCGAAGACCTAATTTCTCTCCAAATTCCATTTTTTAATAAAAGCATTGATTCTCCGTAATCCTATTTAGTCAAATTTAAATTAAATTCAAAACGGCATTACTGTTTCCTCCACGCGCTTTCGCTTCTTGTCACGCGCCACAACGTTCCCGGATAACACGGGCTCCACGTTTCACGTGCTTCATTGCCTTTCAATTAATTTATTAATTATATTTCCAATTTATTTCTTTTCCTAATTAATTTACAGATATTAATTGGGGTCGGCTTGCATCCCATCATACACACATTTTCCTCTCTTTCTTTCTTTCTTTTTTCAATAAATAAATCATCTGATTTTATTTCATTTTACACGTATGAGAAATTTTAAGTACATGGATTCTTAAACATATTTAAATATTATTATTATTTTAGATTATAATTTCAGTTTTATTTATAGATCTCTTTTATTTGGTTGGTCATATAATGAAAATTTAATAATACCATACTATTTTTTATTTTTTATTTGTGATATTTAAAATAAAATATTATTTAATGATGTGTTAGTGTGAGAATATATATTAAAATGACGTGTAAGAATGAGGTGGAGTATTACGTGTAGTGGAAAGAGTGGGTCCACGTGGGGTGGGGGATGGCATTTGCTTTGAGGATAGAGATAGGAATGGTGTTTTTTTCTTTTCTTTTTTTTTTATTATTATTATTATTTTTTTTTTTTGCGTGAAAAAAGACGTACGAGATTATAATCTCACATTTCCAAAGAGAGAGAAGTGCGGGGAAAAGGCATAGAAGATCATTGTCCCCTTCGCTTTAGATTCTATCCCCATCCAATTCCCTCCATATTCCACCCTCTCTTTTCCTTTTATTTACATTTTCTGCCACTCTCTCTTATTTCTCAATTCCCTTTAAAAAAAAAAAAAAAATTAAATTTAGAGATCTTTGCATCATTTTTCATGATATTATTTATAATTGAAATTTTAAACAAATTTATATGAACTCTCCACTCCTACGCATATAAACATAACTTCTATCAGAATAAAACATTTCTAAAAAGTGCCAACATATTTTAAAACTATGTGACTGATACAGTACATAAATAACTAAAACAAACAATATTTACAAGTGGTGAGCTTGAACTGTTGCAAATAATATCAAAGCATCCTTCTCTCTAGCCGACGCGCTTAAAACTATGAGATTGACGACGTATGTAACAGGCTAAAACAGACAATATTTGTGAGTGGTTAGCTTGAGCTGATGTGTAGACTTACAAAACTATTTATATGTCAAGTTTGGTGTCACCCATGTGTCCTACCAAATCGATAGTACCTTTATTAGAATAGTGTTCCACTTGGAGTTAACATTTAACCTTAAAATGTAGATAAACGAGTATGACATTAATAATCGTATCCTCTATAATTGCAATTTTCGAGATTACGAACACTCTGTAACACATGTAAATTGTCTGTTACTTAACTTTGGTCTAACACTAGCTCCAATGTGACCCAAATATCAAGGGATAGTTTGACTATTTTGAATTTGTAGTCTCAAGTCTTCATATTTATTCAACCATGCATGTGAAGAGAGAAGGATTATTATCATTATCATGAATGAAAGGGATAGTTTGGTAAAATGGCGTGAGACGCGCGTGGTCGAGCTGCCGCGTGCCGCCTCCCAACGAAATTAATTAAATGTGAAAACTGGGGTAGCCTCGTGTTTGGCTACCGGCAACCTAAATCTTTTTTTTTTTTTTTAAATTTCACGAGCTGCATCCACCTCATCATAATCGCCTGCCAGCTCATTTCCCCTCTTTTTTTTTTTTTAATTTATTTAAAATATATAGGGCATTATGGATCAAATCATGTTTAGTGTCAGTGGGATCCAATAAGCTTGTTGAATTTATTAATTTAAAATATAAAAAATTAATTAATTTGAAAATAAATATATATATGACAAAATCAGTAAAAAGCTTTAAAACGTTTAAATATAGAATGCTTCAACAGGGGATGAACATTGAGAATTAAATAATATATTTAACTTAACGTATCTAAATGGGCAATTATAATTATTAAAAAATGTTTAAAATAAAGAGGAAAATAAGAAGAAAAAAGGGGATTAAGGTTAGGCAGGTCCTTGTTTGAAGGTTTGAACAGAAGAATTTTAATATTATTTTCTTGGGAAACAAACAGAGGTCAAGCATGGGAAGGATATGATCAGAGAAATAAATAATTTAAATATTTTAAATTAAAAAAAAAAAAAAAGGAAAAAAGGAAAATTCAAACTTTATTGAAAAAATTAAAAAGAGACTCATTTGGGTCTTTTTTCCATCTCACTCATTTCCCCTTTTCCCCGGCAACTTCCTCCCTAATGTGAACGCAATTTCCCGCATTTTTTGACTACTTTATTTAAAATTAATAATTTATAAATAAAAGTGATTATTTTTCTGATTTGCTTGTATATATTATAAATATGCATCTAAATATTTGGATTATTTATCAACATTATTATAAATTTAATTTTGACCAAAAAACCCTAATACTTATCCATAAAATAAAAAAGGTGATGAAAAAAGAAGTGAGAATTGAAAAAGGATATAATGGTAATTAAAAGGGAAAGGGAGGGCATTTGATGGAAAAGAAAGGCGGGGGAGAAGGAGGAGTCCATGACGTAGGAGAGGGTGGTTGTGTTGGTCTTCATCTCTTTATTGACTTTGTGGGTCTAAATCTGAACCCTTTAAACCCACCTTCCCTGGTTGAACAAGCAAATACATTTTGACAAAAATCCCCAAACGGAACCTCAAAAAATAGAATAAAATAAAATAAAATAAAATAAAATAAAATAAAATAAAATAAAATAAAATTTCTCATTAATTCCCTTTTATCCATTTCCATTTTTTGTTCTTACCCACAAAATCTGTCTCAAATCTTCTCCAACTTTCCAACCTAACCCTCTCATGAATTTCACTTTCCAAACCCGCCCTCCTCCCCCTCCTTATTCCGTCCCTCTCTTCCGCTTCCCTGAAACCCCTCCAAATTAGATTCAATCCATTCCCTTTCTCTCCTCCACCTACCCACCACACCCTTTTCCCCGTTCTTCATTTCTCCTCTTCTTCTCGATCGTCTTCGGAACCATCAAACCAGAGCTGTTGTTTTCATTCCACTCAGGTACTCTGTTCTGTTCTTGTTTTCGTTTTCTTCTTTACCTGGATTTTTCTCTTCTTATTTTCCCAGGAAACAAACAGATGTGTTGGTTGGGTTGGGAATGAATCAATGAATCAATGAATCAATGATCTGGAAATCCAACATTAGGGATTTGTTTATTGTTCAACCTAAAACCGATTACAAGAAAGTGAATTGCAATTATTATACACTTTCCTTTACCCAACATTTCAGTAACTTAAGGATAAGGATAACTGCATTTCCATTTGACATTTGTCCTTATCTTGTGTTTCAATTTTAAATTCATCTTGTCGGTTTAGATTTATAAAAAGTTGGATCAGATAACGACCAATTTTTTTTTTTCTTCTTTATCCGTTTTTTTCCCCCTCTGGATCTTCCTGCATTCTAATTGGCCCTTTTGAGGATTGATTCTTACGGTTAGCCCTTCAAATATCAAGAGGATTTCCATATTCTCTTCTGTTTAGTTGAGCTGTTTAGACGATAATATCGTGGAGTTGTTAAGTTCTTGATTTCGTGCTTCAACAATTGATTCAAAACTTGAAATGAGACATGTTTTATAGGCTAATCTTCATGGTTGTCTGGCTGTGGTTATGAGTAGATATAGGAGACTTTGTTTCAACCATTAAGAGAACAATGAAGGTTTGAGATTTTCCTACATTTTTGTTTTCCTTCAGGTTCTTGGTAGGTAATCAGGAGTACTTTGTTCATCATTCTTTTTTGTAACGTCAATCGGTAATCAATCGATTGGAACGATCTGATTGTTTACTGCCATGCTGTCAAGTTCTTGCTTGAGTTTCTTAGAGCTATCGTCTTCGGATATGTTGGATTTTCCTCCTACACCAAGAACCGTTCCACGGGTGTTGACTGCTTCCGGGATATTTTCCGATAAGGATTCGGAAATTTCCTCGTCGAAAGGCCAAGGGAGAAAAATTATAGTGGCAAATTTTCTTCCTCTTCATGCTAAGAAGGATACAGATTCCGGGCAATGGAACTTCAGTTTTGACGAGGATTCGCTTCTGCTTCAGCTGAAGGATGGATTCTCACCTGATGTAGATGTTATATATGTCGGATCTTTGAAGGTCGATGTTGATGTCCGGGAGCAAGACGAGATTTCTCAGAAACTGCTGGAGGAATTTAACTGCGCACCGACTTTCATTCCTACGCACCTTCAGAAACAGTTCTATCATGGATTCTGTAAGCAACATTTGTGGCCACTTTTTCATTACATGATGCCGATTTCCCCTTACCATGGATCCCGCTTTGATCGACGTCTTTGGCAAGCGTATCTTTCGGCTAACAAAAGGTTTGCCGATAAAGTTATGGAGGTAATCAATCTAGAAAAAGATTATGTCTGGATTCATGACTACCACCTTATGGTTCTCCCTACTTTTTTGAGAAAACGCTACAGTCGAATCAAGCTCGGATTCTTCCTTCATAGTCCGTTTCCTTCATCGGAAATATACCGAACTCTGCCTGTTAGAGATGAGATTCTGAGAGCATTACTTAATGCAGACCTAATAGGTTTCCATACATTTGATTACGCTCGCCACTTCCTATCTTGTTGTAGTAGACTGCTTGGATTGGAGTATGAATCTAAACGAGGGTATCTCACGCTCGAGTATTTTGGCCGTACAATATACATCAAGATTTTGCCTGTTGGGGTTCATATGGGTCGACTTGAATTTGCATTAGACCAACCACACACTTCAATCAAGGTCAAGGAAATCAAAGAAAATCTCCAAGGAAAGAAACTTATTCTTGGTGTTGATGACATAGACATATTTAAAGGTATAGGTCTGAAATTACTAGCTATGGAACAGCTCTTGAGCCAGCATCCAGAGTTACGGGGCAATGTCGTTCTGGTGCAAATTCTAAATCCAGCACGGAGCAATGGGAATGATGTACAAGAAGCAAAAAGGGAAACTTATGAGATAACCGAAAGGATTAACAAGGTTTTTGGTTGTCCGGGTTATCAACCTGTAATCTTGATTGATCATCCTATTCCTCCTCACGAGAAGATTGCATATTACGTATCAGCAGAGTGCTGCATTGTAAATGCTCTCAGGGATGGTATGAACTTAGTTCCATATGAGTACATTGTTTGTCGACAGGGAACTTCAAAAATGGATAAAGTCTTGGAAGTCTCCCCGAGTTCACCTCGTACCAGCACGATTGTCGTGTCGGAATTTATAGGTTGTTCACCGTCCCTAAGTGGTGCGGTCAGGGTAAACCCCTGGGATTTTGACGCTGTAGCTGATGCACTTTATGCAGCTGTCACCATGCCTGCTTTAGAGAAGCAACTGAGGCACGAAAAGCATTACAGATATGTTAGCTCTCACGATGTTGCTTACTGGGCTCGCAGTTTCTTGCATGATTTGGAGCGAGCATGCCAAGAACACTACAGCAAACGTTGCTGGGGCATTGGTTTAGGTTTAAGTTTCAGAATTTTGTCACTCTCTCCAAGTTTCAGGAAGCTTTCCATTGAACATATTGGCTCTGCATATCGAAACGCTTCTAGGAGAGCGATATTTTTGGATTATGATGGGACTGTGGTTTCCGAAACTTTAGTGGTCAAATCCCCATCACCTGAAGTCATTTCTATCATCAACAACCTTTGCACGGATCCAAAGAACACCGTGTTTATTGTTAGTGGCAGGGGGAAAGTTTCCCTCGGTTCATGGTTCGATTCGTGCAAGAATCTAGGTATTGCCGCTGAACACGGGTACTACTTGAGGTATCAAACTTAACCTACCAATTACATTCTTCTGTCATGTAATCTTATTTCGTTTAGTCGGATCAAACAGGTTTGATTCTCATCTGGGGTCTTGATTTATTTGTAGGTGGAATAGGGATTCTGACTGGGAAGTTAGTCCATTAGCTGAAAACTTTGACTGGAAAAGGATTGCAGAACCTGTGATGAACCTATACACTGAGGCAACCGATGGTTCATACATAGAGACCAAGGATAGTGCCTTGGTATGGCACTATCAAGACGCGGATCCTTATTTTGGTTCGTGTCAGGCCATGGAGCTCTTGGACCACCTTGAAAACGTCCTTGCTAACGAACCCGTAGTTGTCAAAAGAGGCCAGCAGATCGTCGAAGTAAAACCACAGGTATTTACTGCTTCGGCTCACCTTTTCCTTGTCATCTCGTGGAGGCTGAGCAATTGTCGTCATCACTGCTACTGTGTCATTGTTTGCAGGGTGTGACTAAAGGATTAGTAGCTGAAAGAGTTCTTTCCACAATGGTTAATTCTGATAAAGCACCCGACTTTGTGATGTGCATTGGGGACGATCGATCCGATGAAGATATGTTTGAGAGCATATTGAGTAGAAGCTATAGCTTATCCCTTGCTACGCCCCCGATGATATTTGCCTGTACTGTGGGACAAAAGCCTAGCAAAGCCAAATACTATTTAGACGATACCGCAGATGTTTTGACCTTGCTTCAAAGCCTGGCCAACTGTTCTAGTAGCCGTAAACTGAGATCGAGTTTTGAAACTCCTGTTTTGTTCGAGGATGATGTTTGATGCCGAAGATCCAATCCGTCCTTGCACGTGCGTTGAGCAAGAGTTATCATGTTGGGAAGGTTTGTTTCACTTGATTCTCTTATTCCAACCTCTACGGAGTTGGGATTGTTTCGGTTACCCGATTCTTTGCCACAGTCACTGGTGCCAATGGATTCATATTCAGGAAGATAATTGCTTGGCTAGAGTTAAGTTGGTTTGGTGGTGTAAATAACTGCTTTCACGATACTCGTTCTTCGCCTTCTCCCGGATTCGAGAGTAGCAGAACAAGATCGCCATTGGAACCTAGGAATGGTATAAAGTTGTTTTTCTTCTTTATTTATTATTATTATTTTTTTTCTTTTTGACAGATATAGTGAAGAACAGGTTTCAGATACAAATTATAATTAGCCATAGCTTTGTACATTGATGAACTGGTTTAGTTCTTACAGAACAATCATTCTTTTTATAAAGGGGTTCATGTTCTTACAAAGCCTTTCTTTTGTTCGATTAAGGATTCATTGTTCTTTCAGGTAACCTTTCTTTTCTATATAAGAAATTCTTGTTCATTTTTGCTCAAAAATTGGCGGGACATTGAATTTCCCGTTCATCGAAGAACCCGACCTCCTTTCATTTCTTCACGATTTTCTGTTGGAAATGAATAATGGCGAGTGATTTTTCCCTCTCCATCGTCTTCTTTACAATTGCGCGATGATCATTAGCAGTAAGCGCTCGGGGAATTCGTTCGTCACTTTGGAAATCAGATTCAGGTAGTTCCTTCTCTTCCTTTTTTTTATGAATCGCTTTTTCCACCGATTTTGCTGGAGCGTCTCTGTGTTCTTGATTTCAGTTTGGTAGCGCATTCCGATGCAAATTATTCTCCTTATTCGTGTCCATGGTTTCTCGTTACGGAACATCTTCTTCTTCTCGCTGTTTATTTTGTGTATCTTTCGATGTGCCTTTTAGGGCTCATGTTTTCCATTTTCCCCCTTTTCCGAGAGAATAACAGAGCATGAACACGCATGAAATTTCGCACTTATCTGCCATTGATGAGCAACAAGATGCCTTTTGGATCTGAGGTATTGCGCAATGCGTTGTTTGATTGGATATATTAACCAAACCGAAGTATGGCATTGCTCGACTGTACTGGGAAGCTAGATCGATCAAAGCAATTCTGATAATTCTTTCCTTTTTTTGGGTTCAAAATCTGAATAGATGCACAGATTCGATGAAAGCAATAATCTAAAAAGCATTAAAAAACACATCATTGTACTGAAATTATTTCTTCAAATGCATTATAATCCTTCTGTTGAATCAAGTATGAACATCCACCGCAGTTGCATCTGCATCTGCACATGAAAATGAGCAGTTTATTCTGAAGATCAAAGAAGAGAAGTATCTTTGAAGATAAGAAAAATATTTTTGTATCATGAAAGTGGTTGCTGGAGAGGGATTCACAATCCAAACAGCCACCAAATTGTTTCATAGTTCAAGTTCATTGTTTGTGATTATTACTTGATGGAGATTAAAAAAGAAAAAAAAAGGTGTTTGAATTATTATAATAAGAATGCAATGATTTGTTTGTTGAAGGTGTATTCTCCTTGTTGATTGCTTCAACCCAACACAAAGGCTCCATGGCCTGCCTGTGGGGACCCTTGCCAGGTGTATTCTACAGTCACAAAGTTGGTGATGCTTTGAGTAAGTCTCTCACCTTCTTTTCTTTTGTTTTGAAGCTAATTTTATTTTTATTTTTTAATTATAAATTTAAAAAAAAAACTATTTAATTACGAGATTTTTATTAACAGTAAAGATTGTCTATGAGACTTTACCGAACCAAACAAATTAAATTATAACTTTAAAGACTAAATTTTAATTTTAGGACTTGGTTGTATATAATAAGTAAGATTTTCCATTTTTTTTTTTTTTTTTTTTAAATGTTGGTTTCTTAAGCTAGGTTTGATTGGCTTCCTCTTAAAATTTTCATTTTTTCTAATAATATATTTGAATTCTTAACTTAATTTAAAATTAAAAAAAAATATTTAAAAATATAAAATAAATAAGTAAATAGGTAGAACCAATAATTATAAGTTTTTTTTCTTGTAATTGAATTTAAGACATTTTTCAACTAAAAGTAAAGAATAAAAGTTTTTTTTTCTTTAAAATAAAGGATTCAAATGTTGAATATATAGTCTATTACTTAATAATGAGAAGAAAAACAAAAAGCATTCAATAATATTTTTAGAAATGAAATCATTTTCGAAAATAACTTACGCAAAATGTTCAAAGAAATATACAATGCATACAACAACAAAACGTCCTGTTGTCACTCGAAGTAGTTAATACATAGAAGCTACCTACCAGCTAGCAAGGACGATAAGTCAGTGCGAAATGGATGACGACATGTCGGATTAAAAAGTGGGACCCATCTTGATTTATTGATTGGGTACAACGAAGCATCGGTCCCACCTTTATTCTACTCTTGGAACACCCGATTACAATCCCCGCTTCGCTCCAAACAACCGCTTGAACGTCAGTAGATAAATTCGAATGAATGGTTACTCCCGGTGGTATTTGGATCGGTTAGTCGCTTCAAATCTGTTTTGGTGACCGGAAGTGGCCGGTCACACAGGTCAAAGCTGGTTTCAGTTTCATTTTGATTGTGGCGCATAAAACTGCTGACAAAACCCATCGGTACAGTCTGATAATGGCGTATCCAGATGCAGAAGAGCCTCCTCCTTACGAAGCGGATAATTCCAATTCTTTGTTGCCGACCACCAGGTGCGGCTGTTTCCGGTTATCGTGCTTGGAATCTCGCCGTGCGGTAGCCGTCGGGCCATCATGGTGGGAGAGGATTAGGGGGTCGCAGGTTCACAGCGAGGGGCGCTGGTGGGCGCGAGGCGTTAGGGTTATTTTGAAGATCCGAGAGTGGTCTGAGATAGTCGCTGGACCGAGATGGAAGACTTTCATTCGCCGATTTAACCGGAATCGGAACGGTGGTGGTGGTGGTGGTGGTGCTGCTGCTGGTAGGCCTGGGAAATTTCAGTACGATCCCTTGAGTTACGCTATGAATTTTGATGAAGGTTCGAGGCAGATTGGGGAATTGGACGACGATAATGACGACTTCAATGGGTATCGGAACTTCTCTGCTCGTTACGCTTCAATACCGGCGCCGTTGAAGACCGGAGGAACCACCGGGAAGGATATATCTACCGTCGCGTAAAGGTGCGTTGATTCTACTAAAATACGCCGTGTTTAGTGCTGTTATTGTCCAACATTGAGCTAGGTGACATGTGACATCGTCGGCCCACCACCTCCCCCAGTAGATTTCTTCTTCTTTTTTTACTCTCAAAAGTAAATACGTTTCAATTAATTTGGGGTTTCCTTTCTCCTTCTTCCTAACGGGATCAGTGTACAATACAATTAGAGGGGTTTTTTCTTTTTCCAAAATATATATATATATATATATATATTCTTTTATATTAAATTATGTCCTCATAGTACATAATAATATTGATTTGGGGACTTGCTTGTTTAAAGTGGGTGTAATAAAAAGCCGTATAATGTTTGTATATGTATTGTCGTTGTATGGATTGAACAGTGGGCTATGTTTGACACTTTTTCCCCCACCTTTTCACCGTTCCGCAATGAGATTGAGTTTTTGTGGAAGGCACAATACTCAGATTTAAGGTGTTTTCAGATGTGGCCAGCATGAGATGAAGTTGATGGCATGTCAACTAGGGCTCTCGAATGGTCTCCCCTCATTTGAGGGCTCGACCCCTTCTCTAGAGCTCTCGAATAAAGTACACCATTTGCCCGACATTTAAAGATTCTATTAACATAGCTAAGTTAAAAGACATGACTCTGAATACAAACTCTCGTGATTTTGATTTTGGTTTTCTCAAAAGGCCTCGTACCAATGGAGTTGAATTTATAAACTCATGATTAACCCCTTAATTAGTCTCACTCCTAAAGACAAACAAAGACAAAGGAAACAATGTTATTGCTGTTAGATTAAGAAAGATAGAAGCTTAATGACATGTTTGGGTTACAAACAGGTAGAAGCTACAAGTTCTTTTCTGCTTCACGTCTTTTGGAGTTCATTGCCTTTATGTTGAGTAAAACATCATGTACAATCCATGGGAAGCTGAAGTAGAACATATCTCGTTTGAAGTAGGAAGGGTGATAAGTTACATGATACCATGCAGAGGCCATCATCTTGTGTTCATGTGGGGCGCAGCTATTCTCGAACCATTCTTTGGCCTCCTTGCGTATGCACTTAACCGAAAGCAAGATCCTATCCTTCATATCGCCATACTTGCGATTGTCACGTTGCAGATACGATGCTCGACTTCGAAGATCGCCCATCAATATCTCATCTTCATACTCTGCCCCATAGTAGTTCATCAAAATGCTCATTTTTTCAATGTACATGACTTTGAAACTTTCAGCTGTTTCAAGGAAAGCTTCGAAGCCATCCACTTCAAGATCATGATCATAAATTGCTGTAGCAGTCTCCTCTGTCCACACAAGTCTTGACCTTTCTTGCTCCATCGTCTTAACCGCAGCCCTGTAGAGTTTTCCTAGTACATTATTGGATTTGTACATTGGTTTATCAAATCTCTCCATAAAATCTGGAAACTCCCTAGGTTTTAAAACTCGAGGCATCTCCGCTGGCGCTCCGGTTTTTGCATAATCAACTGCCATTGAGTGCAGCGCAGCCAGCTCTAAACATTTTGAGCTTAGGGCTTTCTTCGGTTCACGGTCTGCATGAACTAAATGTGCAGTCGAAATGGCACCTAATGTGTCATTGATCATATAATCAACAAAAAACTTCTGAATTTCCTGAAAATTTCAATGATCCAACAAACCGGAGGATAAATTTCTGCTCTGAATTTCAAATGGCATAATATGCATATTTGATAGTTTCGTATACCTCTAGTGTCACATCGTGATCCATTATACGTGGCCTCCGTCCCGTATAGTCCATAGGTGCTTCGGTTTTGGGCGGAACCAGATTCTCATCCCAACTTATGAAATATAAATCTCCATCAAGATCACCACCAGAACATTCATTTGTATGTGGCCTGCAAAAAAGATTCAATAGTCGCAGAGTATTGAATAAATTTTAGCTATGTTTATGAAGCCTACAAAAAAAGTGTACCTTTCTCCTTTCTGAGGAAATATAAGACAGTCCACCAATCCCTTCTCCTCTAGTTCTACATGGAAAATAGCTTCAAGAACCCTTACATCTCCTGGATGAAGACATGGATTTTTTGTAACAACTACCTTCCCGAGCAATATCGATTTCGTCTCGTCTATCTTATGGAAGTAGTTCTGGTTCCTGTCCCGAAGCTCGGATTTTGACAAGGTTATGCAGGCATAAACTTGGCCATAGTCTAAAATACCAGTTTCATCCAAGCACCCGAGGAGGATCCGGCCCTTTGGAACAAATATTCTACATCTACTTCTTAAATCAGAAAACAAGTTCCAATAGTGTGCTTGAAGCATCATTGAGAGGTACGGTTCAATATTAGGCTCGTACCCGTGGTTTAACATCTGCACCAGAATGTTATTAGAATCAGCACCGTTCAGATTTTCCAAGACGTTCAAAGCAGCGACTTTATCCGTCAGCATTCTCCTTAGAAGATGTAGTTGTTCTTGCTGCAGTGCCTTGAAGCTTTCGTCCTTCACTCCCAAAGTTGACAAAAGAGTAACGATCTCTCGATTTAGATAGCAAGGCATGGAGTCGCTGCACTTGGTAACATTGAGCATCTTGTTCTTCGATTTGAATTTAAGCATGCTATCACGCAAAGATAGTTTACGAAAGGAATTACGATCGACAGCAATGACACCTTTGTATCCACCATATCGAATTTGAAATGCCGAAGGGATGTGAGTCAATCCACACTTATCAGCTACTTGCCTTGCAAATGAAAGCGAAATTTTTCCGATACCATCTGAGAAGCAGTAGTCAATACCATCAGAATTCACTTCGATATCGGGTATAATCTCAACATCTTGAGTAGGAACAACAAGAGTTTGAGTGGAAGAACTGAACAATTGACCCATCCTAGCTGCACATTTGGAGATACTACGAATCTTTTCAAAGCAGCCCATCCACTGTCTAATTTCTTCTGCTTTCAAGTTGTCGCTTGAAGCAAACATCCAAACAGAGTTCGATCGGAGTTGACTAGCTGAGAAGGCCAAGAACTCAAACCTTTTGGCTCCAATAACAATTCCATTTCGAAGAATACTCACTATTCGATGATAGATTTCAGTTCTATAAGGTTTCGAGAGTAAGCCTCGCTGTATACTCGTGGTAACGGCACCTGCAGGAAGCTTACTCCAGTCCTCTTCAACAAAAGTAACCCTCATAAAATCAGAAGCATATGATGCAAAGTTTTTCACAACATAATTAGAAGTTTCAAGCTCAGGTCCCAAACAATAAATTCTTGATGGGGTGACAAGAACTCTATAGCAGTTCATCACATTATTCGACAACCTCTTTTGAGACAATGAAGGAAGAACTTTGCAGTTCCTTTTCAGAACATGTAATTGGGTCTTTAGAAACGACAAAGGATCATAACAAATGAGCTTCAGCTGATGTAACCTCTGAAGTATATTCAACGCAGTGTCAGTACCTAAAGTGCTAAGGAATTCAATCAGATCATTGTTGGCTGCAGCAAGGCTAATTTTCTGCATATGAACTAAGGAATTGAGCTGATATTGAACCTCATAAGCTAGATTAGAAACTAACCCAGATTTTATCAGAGGAACAGCCTCTGAGGTACTGCCAAATTCTCCACCATCCTCTAATGTAATATCTTTTGGAGTTTCCCTGTAAAGTGGGAAACTAGAAAAGATATCTGAAGCCTGCAAATCTTCTTCAACTTCCCAACAAAAGGAAGTGGACTGACCTATTGATCTCAGAGAAGAAAACTCTGTTGTCCGAATCCAAAGATAATCATGTTCTTCTTTGCATAGACGGTAGCGACTGCTGCTGAATTTGGAAGCCATGTTTGATCCAGAAATCTTTTTATATATTCTCGGCGCATATTTGAGCTGCAAGAACAAGCAAGAATTTGATTCATCGTAAGAATTAGTGAAACGCGGGCATACAAATCAAATCATCGCCATAGTCATTGTGGGAATTTACCTTTAGGAGAAGTGCGTTCAATTTCTCATCTCCTAAACAATATCCAGTAGTTTCGAGAATTTCCTCAAACATCACTTCAAGCTTATAGCACTCATCTTCGCGCCATATCCAGAACTCCACCCTCCTCCTCTCCGGCATAATCCAAGCTTTTACACCTTCCCAAGACTCCAAAACACTCATGTGATCCTCTTTCAGCATAAAACCCACATGCAAAACCCCGTTCTCGGTCCTGTTTCTGGCGTGTATTGGCCTCACAATAATGTCATCGTTGGTCTCGGAGAATCTCAGGTTGTGGGTGTTGAAGACGAGGTTGTTTTGAACGGAGAGGGACTGGGCTTTGGATTTGGCCCCGAGCGTGGTGAACTGTACGCGACCAGAGCCGCGCGATTTCCAGTTCTTTCGCTCGGTGAAGATTTCGATGGCGAAGACGGAGTCGGGACCCAATTTGGACTTGAGAAAGGTCAAGAGGTCTTCGGCTACGGCGGATTCGGGAACGTTTGAGACCCTTAAGGTGGATCTCTCCGGCTGAGCCATTGCCGGAAGATGGTCGCGCCGACAGCCCTTCAACAAATTTAGTGGCGAGTCAGGTATGGTGAAGTGATGCTTGGGAGGAAGAAACGCCGGGACTCGGGGGAGTGTCCGTCAATGCCCCTGCGTTCCTTTCTTCCCTCCCTTTTTGTTTTTTCTTTTTCACATTAGTTTTTATTTTAACAAGTTAAATTACAAATTTAGCCTTCAAATTTTGTTCAATTTTTGAACTTTCAAAAAATTCAGGCACCAAACAATTATATATGTATATATGTATGTATATATATGTGTATATATGTATGTATATGTATGTGTATATATGTATGTATATGTATGTATATATATGTGTATATATGTGTATATATGTATGTATATATATGTGTATATATGTATGTATATGTATGTATATATGTGTGTATATATGTATGTAAGTAGGGAGGCAAAGAGAAACAATTCTGTTTGATGTAGTCCTATTTGATTAACTGATCAAAGTATTGTACGGTTGCTGCTTTAATCTTGATGTCCCCTACTCTGACTGACTGCTCGTACATTTGAATGAAAATCTACGAATAATCTAACACATTGTTCGCCATTTTCGATACTATAATCATACAAACCAGTCGAAACATAGAAACCCGAACATCGAAATTCAGTTGCTGCTGCTAAATGGAGAAGAAGAAATCATTGATATGATATAATGCCTAGCCTTGCCTAGCCTTGCCTTTCCTTCCCTTCCCGTTAGGGATCGGCATGTCCAGCAACGTCGTCGTCGCTTGAACCACTTTCGTTATCGCTCATTTCATCCTCTTCACTCTCGTCTTCTGATGTGCATTTAATGTCATTCTCCTTCTTCGCGAATCGTTCGCAGTACTCTGTACCCACATGGACGTAGATATTGATATTGGGTTACAAAGTTTTGTTCACACAGTGAGAAAGATTTTACCTTTAACTTTCTCATCATACTGTTTCCGATCCTTCATCATAAGCGATGCTGCGTCGCCGTTAAGCGGGTCCGAAGGATTCGGATAAAGGAGAAGCTGAGGAAGGAAAACCTCAAAAACGTTTAAAAGATCTGCAAAACCCAAAAGAAAGAGGTAAGAATCAACACAACCATGAGTCTCAGTACAATCCATATGGTCACTACAGAACAGATGAGCACAAAATACTGAGGTTAAGCGAGGGTTGGGGCGACGGATAGTTACCGAACATCGGACTCCAAGACTGGTTAATCACATCCAAGCACACAGAACCAGATCTGCAGGTTAAATACTTGGGTAAGAATAATAGGCGATACCATTTGATGGTTTGTTTAAAAAGGAAAATACAGTTCCTTACAGTTCATCAACATTTGGGTGGAATATCTTGTTCACGAAACCGATCGAAGGAGACTTATATGGATATGCATCAGGAAGCTCGACACGAATTTTCCAAACGCCAGTTTCGTATAAGCCTGCAAGGATCAATCAAGGATACTTAGCTTACTTCATGGATTAACACTCTTTAGGAACAGGCTGCACCTCTTAGGTGAAACAGTGTCCATGAATTACACAGGAAAGCAGTGGAAAAACACCTCATTTCAAGGATAAATTTTCAGGAGACTCCAAATAACATAAACGAATTCGGTTTAGACTGCCAAACAAGAACGACTATGAAATGCATCATATTGGACAGAGGTGAAAGTCGAGCAATACTTTGTTTGGGACCATGGAAGTCCACATTGAATTCATTTAGTCCATCATTTATCATCTCCACATTGTAGTCACTCATCATCCTGGACAACACAAGCCAACGTTACGTAAGAGATAGCGCACCTTCAAGCTTGGCCACTATTCTAATGGTCTACAGCCATAACAGTGAGCAATACTCAAATTTAAGCCTGAAATCACCACAATGCTGGGCCAGTTCTAGGCGAGCATGATCAATATGTTTTCTAGTTAACATAGCAACAACACGACAAGCACTACTTTTGCTGCCATGGTCACTCTCGGTTGCAGCTCACTGCAATCATCACTATGTTCAAGGACTATAAACACACACCATGGAACTTAACTAGCTTCATATGATTGTGTCTACAAAACTTTGATATTCTTTTTGCAGGTAAAACGTGGAATAGAAGAACTTCGTGAGCATCGTTAACACGTGTTACTTTCCTCTAAGCTATTGCAGTACTAGTAAGTGAATCATTTTCATATTCAACATAGCGTCTCCTTGGTTGTCGAAAGGCTCATAAACAGTCATCCACAGAGAACATATAGAACAACCACAATAACGAATGGCTCAAATAGGAATAGGAAATGTTGATAAATAACAAGGGTATCTATCTTACAATTTCATGACATCCATTTCTCTCCTTTTGCTTGGAGACGACATCGTGAATGAGCGAGCTGCACTTCCAAAATCTGCCACAAACACATATGCTTGAACATTAGAAGTTACTACTGGAGTACACTTTTTAGAAGAAATGAAGTGAAAAGAACTCGGGGCAGCTATGGCCGAGCTTTCGCCTAACCCCAGCAGGAATCAATCACATACACAAATACAAAACCCTCGAGGTTCTACTTGCCTGATTTTATATTAAGAAGAGATTTGAAAACTTTTTGACAAAGTATCAGCAACGTTATGGTCTGGAAAGTTGATACAGATAGTCATATTTCTATATATTTCTACATGCTTCGAAACAAAAGGAACGGCAAATGAAAGTATCCAAGATTTGCAGGTGTTTGTTCATATGGATTTGGTTGCCTCATGAACAATAAATAGTACAGGGCATCCATGTGCTAGGAAGTTTACACATGAAAATCTGGAGAGATAGTGGAAGTAAGTAACCAGTTTCAACAAATGGCAGAAAAGGATCTGATATCATTCAAAATGATGCATCTCCAATCCAAAACAAGCCTGCTTCTGATGTTCATGTGCAAACATCAATCCGAGAGCTAATAAAATGAAATATAAAAGGCCTGGTGGGTGATCAGCATATGATCAGACAAGGAAATGGCTGGTGGGCATGAATGCTAATCACAACGACAAAGGGCAACTAGAATGCTAGATCATATCCTCCACTAACAGACCCAATTTGCAGGATCTCATTTAAAACAGGAACCGCTCATAAGTTGAGCAACGCAAGAAGAAGAAGAAAAATCAAGAGCAAGAAATGTGAAGATCTGCGGAGTAAAGATATGCACAAATTGGTATGAACGTACCTTAGAAGAAGCAGAGAAGGAAGCCTGTTTCACAGGACGATGCCTGAATTGAAGTGGGTAACGGAGAGTCCCGTGAACCGACCGGAAATGAAGAAGGGGGGAAAAGGAAGATTTATAGAGAAGAGAATGAAATTGGGGGAGGAGGAATCGAGACGGTGCAGATGTTGGAAAAAGGAGGCCACCACGTGGCAAGGCAAGGTTCCTCTGCTTTGTGGGGTTATGGCCTCAATTTCACTGTCATAACATAACAAAACCATTGCCATTTCGGACCCCATCGATTTTCTGGGAGTTTGAAAGTGGGGGCTTGCCTTTTCCTTCCGCCTATCCAGGTTTTGGCATGGCCGTCCAAGGCTTCACTGTCAACCATAACCTCCATCCATCTCTACCCATTATGGCAACATTATGTGTTAGCCATGATGTCATGGAATAAAGCAAGATGCCCATCATTTATGCAACGCATAAGCACTATTCCCAAAATTTGATTTAAAGTATTTGCTTTTTCAATTTTACATTTTAAGCCCATCATTTCAAGCTCAACTTTAGTCCAAATTTTTGTCTCTAATATTTAGAGGAAGGTCGATCTTTTACATTGAACCAATGCAAGAGATTATTTGAATCGGCAGCTCTCCCGCCAGATCAACTTCGAAACATGCAATCATCGGAGGCCGACCGCAGACCCAGATGCTATAAGAAGAAGAATAGCGGAGGATGGGCTCCAGCACGGCGGCGGAACGTGACTACTTGGGAGGTTGATTAATGAGGATCAGAAATGGTTGAAATCCATGGATGAACACTGCTGATCCTTGAAGAAATCCTCCAAGTCCAAGGGCCTGAATCTGGATTGATCCATATTCCACAACCAATTTAGGGTTTTGAAGTTGGCCCAAAATTCTCCCCCGGAGCCCAGACCAAGGTATAATTTTAAATGAAAATAAAAATCAATACTTTGGCAACACAACTCATCCAAAGGGCCACATTTGCATGATTAATCCTTTTTTTTATTATTAAAAAAATTATTATTATTTTCCTTTTAATTCTGGTGAGGCATAGTTATTATGTTTACTTAATCTTTACTTATTTCTTCAACCGAAAGTTCCCAATAATTTTGAAAATTAGTTGTTCGTAGACACCTTTTTAGCCTTCAAATTAATTTTAATACCAATAATACAAAATAGCTCACATCCCTACTTTTATATATATATATATATATATACATTAAGAGATGTAAAACAATTTTCAAAAAAAAAAAAAAAGAAATTATAAACCTAAAAACCCTTCAAGATTTGAACCTATCTGATAGGTGGAAGAAGCATAATGGGGTTTGTTTGTAGGAACTAGAAACCTTTTGATTGGGTAATGAAACCCAAAAGGGTATCTGTTGTTGATGAAAACAACGGGGAAGGAGGGGAAGAGTGAATAAGTGAGATTCATGTGATTTACCGCTCTCTCTCTTGCGACCCTTTTCCCCTTTCCTCCTCTTCTTTATCTCTCTGTCTCTCTCGAATTTGTTGTTCCCATCTGGGTTTTGGTTTCTTCAATGGCTTCCAGTGCTTCAAGGTTCATCAAGTGCGTCACCGTCGGAGATGGGGCTGTGGGGAAGACCTGCATGCTCATATGCTATACCAATAACAAATTCCCCACTGTATGTTCTGTTCTTCTTTTAATCAAAACATTCATCTCCTTTCTGGGTTCTTTTTGTTCTGTAGTTTCATCTTCTAATCTTGTACTGCTAATCAACTTTGTGCTCCAATTCCAATTCCCCTGCAGTTCTTCTTCTTGAGGCTTTCTTTATTTTCTTGTATTCTAATTCAAAATGGTTCTTGCTTCCTCTCCTGCCTTGGTGTTATGATCATAATTGCCTGTGTTTTTTCCAACAGAAAACATAATCAATTGTGTGTTATCAGGATTACATACCCACGGTGTTTGATAACTTCAGTGCCAATGTGGTGGTTGAAGGCACCACCGTCAATTTAGGCCTCTGGGATACGGCCGGTACACCCTCTTTGTTGCTTGCTTTAATTGAAGCCTTGAATTTTAGACTCTAAAACTTGGCTTTGGTTGTAATGCCATACAGGTCAAGAAGATTACAATAGGTTAAGGCCATTGAGCTACAGAGGAGCTGATGTTTTCATCCTTGCCTTATCGCTGGTTAGCCGGGCGAGCTACGAAAATGTACTTAAGAAGGTGACTAAATCTAAGCCTTTTCTTTTCCTAATCTCTATCATCTTTACGTTTGTAACTTGGAATGTCTCATGGTTAGTGGATTCCGGAGCTTCAACATTATGCGCCTGGAGTCCCGGTGGTGTTGGTGGGCACCAAATTGGGTAGGCCATCTTCTTTCTGATATTAGTGCATTTGTTTCGAACTTCCTTTGTTTAGTCTAAGTAGTTGAAATGATGTAGATTTAGATATAACCAAAGCAAATATTATCTCCTTTATTTGTTGAAAAGGAGGTAGGAGTTGAGAAGAGGTTGACTAAAGTAGGAATGCTTGCAAACAGGAAAGTCATTGACAAGAACCCCCCTTGTCTTTGTTTAGAATGCTTCCGAAGGGCGGGCCCTTGTGGTTTTGGATGCGAGTTTAGAGTTTAGACCAAGGTCCCGGTTCAGGCCTCCGAATGGAATGATACTTAATCAGAGAAGAACGTTGTCGTCTCTTCGATCTAGTGTTAGGATGTTGCTTGTTCGTGGGATGGGGTAGATATTTATAAAGAGGTGATGCTTTCAATGGTTGAATTATTGAGAGGAGGACCAGCCTATGTACTTGCAGACGAGTTAAAATGTTTGAAGGGGGCCAAATAATAATTCAGATAGCAGGTGCGGCTAAGCACGGCCATTTAAAGAGGAGAAGTAGTTGGGTTCTTGGTAGATACTCTTTTATGCTCCATTGGCTCTGTTTTAGCTCATTGTTTAATACCTTTTGACACCAAACTCATTTTCTGTTCACATATGCACTTACCATCACAAATCTCCTACTCTTTGACTCTTCAAGTTATTGATGCAAATGATTTATTGTGTTCCTATACCGTACATGCTATCAATTAAATGCAATGCAACAATCTTGGATTAACTTGTGATCATTCTCGTCGCTTAGATCTTCGAGAGGACAAATTCTATTTGGCTGATCATCCCGGATTGGTGCCCGTAACCACTTCGCAGGTGATTGTTTTTTGGTTCAATATGCTGGGAGGGGAGAGTAGGAAACTACACTGCTTGCTTTTACCTCATGGTTATGATGAATTTTAAGTCTTAATATTTGATGGTTCAATTAAATCAGGGTGAGGAACTCCGTAAACAGATCGGTGCCACATATTACATCGAATGCAGCTCAAAAACACAGCAGGTACTCACTTCACAACATTCTTTAATTGGATTAGTGTTCATGCGGTTAGACTTGGATTGTTTAATTGGTATTGCAGAATGTGAAAGCAGTGTTCGATGCAGCAATAAGGATGGTTATCAAGCCACCACAGAAACAGAAAGAAAAGAAAAGGCCACAGCGTGGGTGTCTACTGTGAGTTCTCTATCTCTTATCAATCCCTCTAAGCCCAAGTAATTAACGTACATTTATATGGCTGTTCGACTTATGTTTGGGCTTTTTGGACGCAGAAATGTATTTTGTGGAAGGAACCCTGCAAGGCAAAGTTGAAAGCAGCTATATAGCAAAACAACAGAGGGTTGTTTGGGGAAAGTGAAGCAAAGCTAGGAGAAAATTCGCTTCTAATATCAGTAGCTGTAATTCTCTTTATCGTTCTTTTAGTTGCTCCTCTGTATACAATTATTTTTTGGGAAGGATATAATGGCGTAAACTCATAGTTTCTCTCTCCGTTTGGCATTTAGTATACTCCTAAATAGTAAGTCAAGTAAGCTACTCACTCACTCCCTTGTAAACCTGCTGCTGCTCAAAACCTGTCCACATGCAACAATACTATTCCATGAAACAAGATGGTATGACGTGAAGAGACTTCAAGCCAGTGTGGGAAGGGGGGAATTTACGGTTCTACATGGAAATATGAACTTAAGGAATTCAAAGGCTTTTACAATTCCTCCAAAAAAAAAAAAAAAAAAGTGTCAGCTATCGATAACCACTCTGCCAAAATGTTGTGTCGAGAAGGGTCGATCCCAATATAAGGAAAGCAGAACAGCACAAATTAGGTAACTACAGAAACTCCATGTAAAATCAAGGGTGATTCCAGCATGAAAAATGAGGAACACAGATTATTTTGCAAGACAGAATGTAGAAATGAGAGAGAGAGAGGGGAGGCAACTTAAATGAACTGAAATGCATGCGTCATTATCAGATGCACCCTCTTGCTTTGATCCTGAAGGGAAAAAACGAAATTATAAATATGCTCAAAGCAATTCACCGGTTCATATTGGTGAAATGGGTGCAAAAAGGATGGAAAGGTTTTGAGTTCAACAGTATATTAAATCGATGCACTGAACACCTGTATCGGCACCAACTATCAAGTGTCTGGGGAACAGATAGTGCATGCTTTCCACAGTTAAATATCTACAAAGAAGAAATTATCTGCAGCCACCCAGAACAAATTCAAGTGACAAGAAGCTTGAAGGCCCCAGACATTCTTTTTTTAAGTTACAACTGATACAGAGAAAAGGTGTGGGATTTGAGACCATGAAGAACATGAGATACTACTCACCACCTCCTCCGAAAAGCACACAAAGTTAGATGACAGCCAGTGGAAGTCAGCTCAATGCCAATCCTCACAGCACTGAAAAACATATAATTAACATTTTTAACATTAGAAAAGAAATCTTGAATACAAATATATTCATGTTAAGATAGCAAAAACATGCCAACATGATGTACCCATCCTCCATCTTTCAGCTGGGGTGGGGGTTGAAGCCTATATTCATAAGTGATAAGATATAAACAAGAACTCACCAGCTTTCAGGACTCCACAGGATGTTATACTACCATGACGACTGTTTGTACCCATCCCATCCTCCCTCTGGTTCCTTTCTCTTCATTATGCCAATTGTTGGCTGGTAAACCCGCATATGCTCCTCGGTAGTGGCCTGCGAACTGGCAACAGATAGTTGCCTGGGTACAAAGGATGATGATTCCTCTCTTCCTTCAATGTTTGCAACTACAGGTCCAGCATTTAGATCTAAACCTTGTCTTCCCCACTTTCTACTACCATCAGAACTAGTATTGTGGCCGCCATCTGAGTGACTAACAACATAAGGTCTTGGATAAGGGGTTGATACTGTACCAGGAGGACCTAGGAACTGTGAGGGGACTGCAGGGAAGCAAAGCCTGCTACCAGATGATGAATCACCATATGCTGTTGCATTACCTGAAAACGTGGCTGACGGTAGAGGAAAGCCGTTTCCAAAAGACAGGACAGGATACTGAAAAGCTGCAGAAGGAAATGGCACAGCCGGAGAAGATGATAATACTGGCCCTCTAAAGACATCAGGGTTATATGGACTGCTACCACTTGTGGGTCCCAAAATCCTGGGTGGTCCATTTGTTGCAACAACTGGAAAAGGCTGTTCTGCTCTATCAGGCAAAATCGATGGAATTGCAACAGCTGAATAAGCATTCCCTGGAGGAAACCATGATGGAAAATTTCCCATTTCTGCACTGTTCATCCAAAGACCTGAGACAGAAGGCTGGGATGGCATACTGCCTCTAGCATGCTGAGGAAATATTGATGGTTCAGTAGGGGTCTCATCAACAATAGGTCCATTTAAATCAAAGTCCCTACGAAAATTCACCTTGTCATTGAGAGGAACAGTAGATGATTTAACATTAAGAGGAGCATCTATTCTACGACAGTTGTTCAAGGAGAAGTTGCTTGGATCGGGAGCATCATCAATTCGGTTCAAGTCAAGATCTAGTCCTCCAGAGCAACGTGCATGTGAGACACCAATACCATGTGTCAGATCACGATTATTAGCCAGGTCAGACTTAGAGGCCACATCCTGAGTAGACATCTGGACATTCATATCCTCAAGAATCCTTTCATCAGGCACATTCAAATCAATATCCAACGGAGGTCGAGAAATTTTATTAGCCACAGCATCAGCAAGTGGAGTGGTTGCAACACCTAGTGGCATTTCTAGAACTTTTCTAGGTTCAGCAGGTCGAAAAGCACTTGTGGCAGCTGATCCTTTCCAACCAAGTTCCCCTTTGCTCCTCAATAGATCATCAGGTGGAACGAAAGGTCTTTTTGCTGCAGCTGCAACTGTAATTGAAGCAGGAATGTTGCTTACCACATTAGATACAGGAAGGGGCAACGGACTAATTAACTGAACAGTTGTCAAACAACCAGACGTTGTAAAGCTACTTGGCTCACTGCATTTTCCATCATCCACATTAAAGCCTTCATTCAAATCAAATTCCAACTTAGCATCCATATCTGATACCCCCGCAGCAGTCATGGAACCAGGATCTGCATCAGTAGATGTAGACTCCTCTGCCTCTTCTGCTTCTACACTAGCTAATTTGGATCTCTTGGATGACAGATGCTGTTCAGTTTCTTGAACAGGAGACATAATAGATTGTCCATGATGTGTTTGTACTCCACTTTTCTCATTATCCTTGTTACATTCCAAATTCTCCTCTGCATGCTCGTCCTCATGGTTGATAGCTGAACACAAACCACCTAAATCTCGGGACTCAGAAGGCATAGAGTCTCGATCACTTTGATGTTTTTCAAGTTGTTTGACATCAGCTGATTCATTGGTTTCATCATCCTTCTCGCCCTTCATCCCACTTGCATTTATAGAAACCAGATCACTTGAAGAGCCTGAAGCCTGAAATAATTCATCATTCTTCAATTTAGCAGAATCACTGTTCGACTTTGATGATGGCCTTTGGTCTGCTGTACTAACACCATTCATTCTATTATCTTTATTGTCATCAGCTTCTTGGAACCGATGCAAAGGCTTGTCAACAACATTCATTTCAACTTCCCGATTCGAGATACCATCAACGACCATGCCACCATCAGGAAAAGAACTGCTTGGCTTTGGTCTTGATTCTGGACTGCTATCCTCATCTACTACATCAGATGTCTTTCTGTCCTTGACTGGATTAGCCCCATCAATCTCAGAGCCCTTCTCTGGTATCCTAGCAGGAGAGGCAGGACCTCCAGACTCGTCCATTTTTATACATCCGTCTGCCTGTGGCACAGCCGTTAGTTGCAAATTTACACCAGAAGATTTTGAATGACCATTTAGATCTCCAATAGGTTTCTCTTCAGAATTTGAAGCAGAGCTTCCATCCCCATTAGCTCCAAAGGAACCAATGATCACGCCCTGCTCATTAACAACCATAGCATCATTTAACTGCATGTTATCTCTAGCATCCTCTTCAGGACAAGATGCTTTGACTTTACAATCACTGCCTCTTCGGTCAACTGTAGTGATATTTCCTTGAGTATCGGAAGGCAGAACAAAATCAGACTTTGACATCTCAACAGCTGCCACACTAGCAAGTAAATTCATTCCAACATTATCTGTGAGAGAGGTAGGCATACTCGCTTCAGAGCATTTAATACAACTCTCAATTAAAGCATTCATAGAGCTAAAAGAAGCCTCATGTAACTTCCCATTCTTTTGATCATTTGCTAATGATGACGAATTTGCCTTTGAAACTTTAACATCCTCAGCAGTCCTACATCGCTCTTCACCATTTACAGCAGCAGGAGATCCATCAACATCATCAGCCCCAGTCACCATATCCTTTACATCACTATTCTGCCAGGGCTCAGCATTCACATCTCCAGTAATATTAGGTTGACATGTATCACTCTTACTGTGATCAAATTGATCAAGCTTCTCTGAAAGTGGAGGAGAAGAAGCCCTGGTATTCATTATCGAAGGATCTTCAGAAGATCCTCCACTAGCACTCTGGGCAGGACTCCGGCCACGATTGGTGATCTTCACTATCAATTTAGGACTGTTTCCCTCAACAATAGGTCCATCACATGCCTTTTCAAAGGTCATTCCAGATTGTGATGATCTCTCTAAGACTGTGTTTCTATGCAAAGAACTTTTCCCCGATCCTACATCTCGTTGAGCCCCCGAGAGAACAGAACCAGGAAATCCATTAACTGACTTGCGCTGGCGAGATCCACCACCTGAGATCTTGTTCACGCTCATTGAACCAGCAGTAGAGCTTCTTGCATCCTCCTTCCCTAAGCCACCACTTTTACCGTGTTCACTAGAACAAGATTGACTATTATTGTGGGACTGGCTAGAACTGCTACTCTTTTCATCCTTGGCAATAGTTTGAGCAAGATCAGTAGTGCCACAAACACCAGGATTTCTGGAAGATCCATCTTTCGAGTTAATGCTTGCTGATGCAGGTGATAAAACTGGTTTCATCGAACCAGGAGAGGCAGATGCAGATCTTGTAATACTCTCATCCTGAGCTAGCTTAACTGAAACAGACTTGGATGTAGTGAGCTGAGAAACCGAGCTCTTCATGGCAACTTCAGAGGATGCATCTTGATTCCTCCCTCCATGAGAAACTTCAGATGGACGAGTCCTTGCACTCCATGCAACAGCTTGGTTTGAACCAGACTTTGCATCATTAATATTCATTTCCGCTTCAACGCGTTTTTTCCATGTGTCCACTAAGCTCCTTGCTTTCTTCTGAATTTCTAAATTCTTATGTGAGCGTAAATGATTCACAGACTTTCCAATATTGCACATCTGTAAAGCAGGAAGATTTACAGGTAGTTTATCAAGGGCTCGAAGCAAAACCAGGAGAAATTCCTCAACTGCTTTATCGCTATCCTTGGGGCTACCACCACTGCCAATTTTCCCCCTGTGAACCTCTTGGAGCCATTCATCAAGTACAAGTAAACCCTTAAGATGCACAAATTGACTAAGGCACTCGACCTTATCTGTGGCAGCTATCACACCTGCAAGTGTTGATCTGCAAGCCCAATCAATTTTTTTGTCATTTCTATCGGTCAGCAAAAGCTGCACCAATTTCTCGACAGCTTCAGAATCAACTAAGCCTCCTTTTTCAGCAATTCTTGCAATCTCAGACTTTAACGTATTTTCCAATCTGCAGTTAGCAGAATCCCCTTCATCAGCTTTGATGATGCGCTCACGTTTAACAGATTCTAATCCCTGGTCACTTCTTTCTCTTTTCTTGCCTTTTGTGTGAGAAGGAAAGGCAGTGGTTTGAACACTATCTGAATTAGCTTTTAACTGAGATGTTGATGTTGGACCACTTGTAGGCTTAGGTGATCGGCCACCGGATTGCACTGAAGCATGCATTTCTAATCTTGTCTTATATAGCAATTGATCTACTTCTTCCTGACGTTCCTGACAAACAAATAAAATTAACCAAAAATCACACCGTTTAAGAGAGAAAATGACTAAAGCATCAAGAACTTACATTAATATAATCCTGATCGGTAAGCCACCATAAACACTTATTTGTTATGTCATACACTCTCCGGCACACAAATGACGAGATCCCTGATGAAAGTTTAACGTCCTTTGGAAGAAATGCAACTTTACACGGATGGAGTAAAGATGCAGCAGGAATTTCATCCTTATGAAAGGAATAGAAGACTTCGTTCGGCGCAGCTTCCAAAAGGATGCCTTTGCCGAGCTTTAGTTCAGAAGATCGATAAAGCCAATTCACACCTAACTTTAACTTATTCTCCTTACCAGCCGTTAACCACCGGATTATGCCAATAAAAGGTGGGGAATCTTGAGGGGGTTTGAAAAGAGCACAATCACCAACACTAATTCTACGTCCACCCTGTTCAAAGAGAGTACAGAATACTGAGTCATCAAAAAATAAGTGCCTGTCAATAGAAATTAAAATTTAAATGACGAACAACACAGATAAGCAAGACTAAAGCTATATGATATTAAACATCGTGATGCACTCCTTCATAACTCCAGGAAAAAGCCAGGAGGGGAGAAGCTCTCTTACCTTTTAAAAATAAAAACTACAATGCTTTTCCATAAGAATAAACAACAACAAAGCTTTTATATCTCAAATACACGACCAAAATAAGAGATCAGTTGAGATACATCGAATTTTAACTTCATTCAAACTAGTCAAGAAAGATGTCTAGGTCAACCACACATACACATCCATTACTTAAAATAGCAAGGGAATTAAAAAAAACCCTGAAGCAAATCTCATAAACATCCCACCCTGGTGAAGCAAACACACCTTGGGACTAGTTATCAAGCCTGAAACAGATGACTCAAAAGAATCCATTGATGGGGGAAATAATTAAAAGCTAATTGGCTAGTCTCAACGAATTGACGTCCCATTCTAACAGACAAAGAATCTGTAGTAGCATTTGGTAATTCCAAGCAGAAGATAGCCATATAACTTTTGAACTAAATATGAGACCTTTAGGGAAGCCTACAGACCGGTCATCCAACGCCAAGCTCCTCAACAGGATAGAGAAAAGCTTATATTCTACAACAAAAACAATTCTCAAGGCCTCGTCCAAGGCTTTAGAGACATTTCATTAAATTCCTCCATAGAGAAACAATGAAACATCATAAGAACTAAAACCAATCCCTCCCTCAAACATTGACCCAGCAGATAATTTCTTAAACATTGACCCAACAAGGATGAGATAAAACAAGAACAAAGGAAGTTGAAGCACGAAGGGAATATCTAAAAAAAGAACAATCAGGATAAACAGAAACAGAAAACGTTACCTTGCAAAACGAATTAAGTGCAGACGAAGACGATGATGAAGAACCATCTGCTTCTACGATCTGGGTACCAAGTGTGTGGACTGTCCACATGTGCCGAGTCCGTTTCCAGTCCTCACCTCGACGCCCATGCATAGCCTTGCATTTTCCCCAATTCCAGTTTCGATCCCACCTTCACGCCGAACGAGTACCATCAATCCTAACCCTAATTCGACAGAGGAAAGCCAATTCAAAGCTATCCGCTTACCGAGAAACCCTAGATCAATACATAACGCTTTCAGGGCATCATGTCCCTATAAAGATAAGAGGGATTTTCCGAAAATCCCACCGGCGAACCAATCGAGTACGAATTCTAGGGTTTACCTTATCTAACAGAGAGTGATCGAATTGAAGTCCAGATCCAACCACACGCAAGGAGATGATTAATGATTTCGAGCCGCCTTTCAACCTAGAAGGAGAGAGAGAAGAGTGCGAGAATCTAGAGTGAGAAAATCGAAAGCGCACACAGAGGGGGGGGGGGGGGGGGGTGGGGGGTTGTAGGAGAAGAGAAAGAAAGAGCCAGACGGCAGAAAGGAAATGTGTACTTGGTAACTTGGTAGAGAACCGAGACCGGGCAGTTCGGGGTAGATTGGGCAGTTCGGGCTGAGTTAATGATAAATAAACATGGCGGTGATGCAACGGCCCCGAGTGATTTTGTAGAACGTGCCCCAAAACGTTTCTTCCTCTCTTCTCTTTCTTTTTATTTTTTATTTTCAATTTTGACTTTTCATTTTAATTACACAACTGCGTTTTTGGGGGCTCTGACATTCAATCCAATGCCCTTCGCGGCCCTGTTTTCGTCATCTCTGGGTCCCACTTCCCACTTTCCGTTTCGGGAATTTTCTCCTCCGGGGATGATTGGGTTACCCAGCCGGTGAACCTTGGCCACCCCCGTCTGTCACCAAAATCCATCGATGTAATATCTCCTCATGGGAAGGGGAGGAGGTTAAGTTAAGGTTGTCTTGAGCTGTTCCAACACACATCACTATTTTAAAGGGTGCACACCACTAATCAATTTTTTTCCTCCAACCAGATCGCGCCACATGGCAGGCATTGTTTCAACCCGAGCAATAAGAAAGAAAGAAAGAATGTTGGGGGACCCCTGTCTATGTTCACCCTCATGAATAAACAGTCTTGATCAAGAAGCTAATAAAAAAAGCAGCAGCATGTCTAATCCAATCATGTGGCTCTGCCCCCTCCTGTAGGGAATAGAATTGGAATAAGCAAGCAAGACTGGCGCTGCACAGAATCTCATCAAAGCCAATGCATCAGTTCACACACACATTCTAGAATAATAAACTTGGCCCTTGTTTAATCTTTGCCACAACTAAAAACATCTTCAAAACTTTGATTAGTGTTGATAAAACATTATTAGAAATCATCGAACAATTTCGAGGCTTCTTCTAATGATATCTCCTCGATTACAGAATGAATTGAACTGATAGGGTGTTGCATCGGACGTGCATTATCACGCTAACACTTCCTCCTTTTGTCACCAAGATGATAAGCTCCACTGCATACAAGCGCTGATTTTGAAATACTGATCCGCTAATCACAGAGCGTTTACCATCCTCTTCATCTCTGCAGATCTCCGAGGATCTGGTTCGTCGATGGCTCTCTCGGTAAGTACTTGCTTGATTCGGCACATTGACTTCCGCACCTAAATTACGAGCACCAACAACCACCATCGACATCAGAATAGAAAAGTAGTGAAAGGAGAACCATCACAAGCCCTGAAATCACACAACTGAAGAAGCAGGAGAAAGAAACAAATACAGCGAAAAAGCAAATTGAACTTGTATTTACAATTTAAATATTATACAAAATCTCTGCCAACTTTACCTTGGGAATACGTTCTGGATTAGGAAACCTTAGATTTTGTGCATTAAGCATCTGGCGCTGTGTCATCAACATATTTTTCTCCTTCAACAGAACATACCATAGCTTATTAAGATCATCCCAAGACTTGAGCCGTAGTTCCGAAGCCTTCCAACTTCGACCTAACAGCATAGGAATTGCAATTAGAATCTCGATAATGTCTTTTCAAGAAGGCACAAACTTTCAGCCATAAGAATCAGAACTTTTTCTAACTTCTAATGAAGGGGATTTTGCAAGACATATGAGTTTTGTACTTCAGCCCGTGGTTGTTTATTTATACTATAAACTGCAAGCGTCACAAACCAAAGAAAATTTGCAAGCTGAACAATCTGTCTGTCCATGAGCTAATCCTACAAAATTATACATTGCAAAATTCATAAGATACTAATATCTCATCTGGGTGGCCGCCAAACTATGAGGATTCTTTGGTTATCCACGGGCATTTGGATCTCGCACAAGTATCTAAGCTTACAACATTAGGGTCGAACAACTTTAGGGATATTTCATTCCAATATAGTATAGGCGGTGACCAAGAGGGAGGACCTTCTAAATCTCATAAATTTTCTATTACATCATACTTCGTTTTTGGTTGTTTGAACTTTTAAGAGACCTTTATTCCTAAGAAGTAGGGCATATACATACATGCATGTATATATATATATATATGTGTGACAACTTTGGCAAAAGATCAAGTCTGTATTGACATGAGAAAAATGTGTATCCTAAAACAAAAATAGCCTTTGACAAAGGGCAAGCATTTTCCAGTACCACAAATTTATTCAAAGTGAGTAACCAAATGAATAGACAACATGATAAAACATTAACGTACCATTCGTATCATACGAGCAACCATCACAGAACAATTTATAAAAATTCTGAAAACGCACATAAAACTTTCAAGGGCTGATCACATGGCACACATAACACAGATTCAGCAATAAGAAAGCACTGACAGGTATAGAAGCTATGCAGATAGATCAGACATAATCATGCTGCCAACACCTATTTAAAGTCCTTGCTCCTATTTTCACTATGCAACCAATCAGGTAATTGTACAAAAAGAAAACATGTAATCAAAGAAAACAAAGGAGGAAGAACATATACTACTGAAATTATGATGAAACCAATTTTTTTTTTTTTTTTTTTTTGGAGCACTTTGGTGTCTCTCCTGTGTTGAGAAATCTGTAGGTTTCAGTCCAGCATAGTTATTTGTAATTACTCATTTCATCTATTATATCATGTAAAATCCAGTAACATAAAACATATAACATTTGTGATGTTTTATCAATGAAGCAGAATCCACAGTCCCCACCAGTGACAAATTATTTGAACTGGACCAATCTTGTTATCTCAAAAGATGCATTCTAACTCCATACATGACAAGGAGGGTATTTTATTTTAGTGCAGTGGCTGAATCTGATCAATTTGTATTCATGAGTAAGCAGACCCTCCATGATTTCAAGTTCAAATTTCGGTATTTCACGATATCAAACCAGACACCCACCCAAGGAACAGTATCTTGAGACAAATTCTTGAAAATGAAAGAACCAAAATACAAATTTATATATTGTTAAAGAAGACCAAAGTTTGAAGGCAACATATAAACATACCATACACAACAGGTTTGTCATCATCTGGACTTCTATCTGCCTCAAAAAACTCCTCGAGCGGGTTATAGCCCGTCGTAGCTGTAGAAGCAGCAGCAGCTGCAGAAGAAGTTTCTGATCTAGCAGCAGCCAGAAATCTTCTCCCAATCACTCGAGTCAAAAACATGACTACACCAATGCTGCTTGAATTGCAAGACTAAAACAGTGAGACTATATCGATATATCCATACCTATAGCATAAACAGCGAGACAATAAGGGAGAAAATTTTTTGTGCAATTTTACCCCTTCGTTGTAAATTCCGAAATTAAATAGTGGATTTTACATATTTCTGAAACCACGTCTCAATTTTCCGCTAATCGGATATTGTATCAAATAAAAAAAATTAAAAATCGTATAAGAAAAGTTAAAACTCCTCCCTTCTTTCATTAGACAAGTTCAAAGTTGTGTTTTTCGAGTGGGAAGAAATACATGGATGGAGATTGGGAAATACCAGTTACAAGGGAGAAGTAAATCAGAGCAAAATCGCTAAGAGGGAGGCTGCGGCGCCACGAAAGGAAGAAAGCGACGGTGGCAGTGGCAGTGGCAGTGGCAGCGGCGGCAACACTGAGCGGCTGAAACGGAGGAGGAGACGGCGCGAAAAGAAGAAGAAGAGTTATTTTGTAATAGAAACTAGTTTAGGGTTATCCTTTTTCGTTTATTAATTTTTTATTTTATTTTACATAGTGGGCTCGGTTTTGTTTTCTGGGCTGACCTTAAAAAACAATGGCGGGCAGTTAGTTGTGGCTAATGAGGGCCAGATATGGCTGCTGGGCTTTCCTTCCCATTTTAATGTAGGCCCAATTAAGATGAATTTTTCGACTTACCCGATATTTCGGGTTGGTTGAGTTGGTGGTCGGAGCAACTCAAATAGAGAGTTTATGACCCAACTCAACCCAACCCAATCCAATTCTCTATTCTCGCTCTGGGTTAGGTTGTCAATTTTTTATTATTATTTAAAAAATCATACTTGTTCACAATACATATTACGTTGATAATTAAAATATCTTAAAATTCAAATATCAAACATTTACAAATCACAATGCATTACTAACATCGATAACAAACGTCAACCTACATAATAGGTGACCATATAGAAAAATAGTATAATAAAAAAAATCAGACACGTGGCAACACTCTTATAACCAAACAATTATACTATTTAAATAATAAATTTCATCCTTCTCCAATTTCCTAAAATAAACACGTATCATGATGACACAAACTATGAAGTGATTAAGAAATAATAATTTTTGCAAATCTCAGCCCCATAATTAAGATGTGATATGATTCGGAGTTCCTAAAGTAAGATAAGTTTAGAAATAATTACAATATAAATCGAATTTAGGGTGTGTCCCATGTGGCCCACAATAATAATAAACAAAATAAAAAAGCTAAGTAGGTAAAGTATATATGAATTATAAAGTTATTTAAAGGCAAAAATTAAATTTGATGATATAAAAATACAATTATATAGTTTATTAGACGAATTTTATATTTATTTAAAGTTTTCAAATCATCATTTTATTTTGACGGGAAGTTACGAGTTGATGACCCTTTCTTTTTATTTGTCATTTTCGAGTTCTTAATGATTTCATCTCTAATTTGAACCCTTTCTGTTTTTGGGACGATTCATAATCATTAAAAGAAAAAAAAAAAGAAATATGGGTTATCTAATAATTGTTAAATAATATAAAATTATTACTTGAGATGTAATAAACTCTTCGAATAATTTATTATTTTCAACAAATTTAATTGCGGAATTTCGATTTTGTTAAAATAATGTTCACTTCGTTTGCGGGTTTAAAATTTATTTTGATAGGCTATCAAATATTTTATACTCAAAGAAATATTTTTATTTTATTTATTTATTTAAGGAACATTATTTATATTAAAATATTCTAAAATATATAGAAAATTACAAAATATTTTTATTAACAAGATAAATGATAAAATTACATGAAAGAAGCACTTTAAGATTTATGATTTTTGTGAGAAATATATTGTAATAATAAAACATAGGAAAACGTAAACCATCTTATTTATTAAAATATAAGATTGGGTGATGTACGTATCAATCGTGGGAACATTCGATTCGTCCCAAATATACCTTTTAAAAAATAAAATAAAAAATAAAAAATCCCAAATATACTTGCTTAGGAAGCTAAATGGAAGGGTTTAGATTGGGTGCGGTCAAAAGCATGTTAACAAGAGTTCAACGCGCGTGTACAAAAAGCCAAAATTGAAGGCAATTGCCAGCTGTATTGTCAATGCTCGTGGTTTTTCTCTTGTGGCTAATAAAATTATTATTATTATTTTTTTTTTTACTTTTAAACATAAACCAACCATTTTTTAAAAAAATAAATAATTAGTCCTCTAGAAGGCACTTTGGACACGAGGGAAGAAAAGGAAAAAAATTAATGACGTGGATTTAAATTAGAGGTCGATTTTTTTGGTTGCTTGAAAAAAAGAACACGAGCTACACTTACCGACGCTGTAAAAAATTGAGTAGATTATGGGTAAAATAATATTTGAAAAATATATTAAAATAAAATACATATTAGAATAATCTTGCTGCATCAAAAATATTTTCCTAATTTTATATAAATAAAATATTTTAAACAGTTTTATTACCTTATTTAATTTTGGACGAACTATTTTAGTTTTTATAAAGTTATATTCACGATTTTTTTTTGTAATAAACTTACTCCAAATAAATGATTATAATAAAATTACATAAATGATTGTAAAAAATTAAAGATTGTACATGGGGAGTAAATTGCATTTAATGGGATATATTTATAAATCTTACACTATTATAATAATTTATTAACCAAAACAATAATATTCCTTAAATTTTAATTTAATTCTTATTCACTGATAAATATATTAATAATAATATGCATTAGATTTGAGGTCTTTTAATTGGTTTAAAGTCATCCCTATTAATAACTATTCTCAAATAAATAATTTTAATAAAATTAAATAATTAATTATATTATAATTAAAAAATCAAATATTAAGGGAAAAAAACTCATGCCAACCTCTTTTTCCACAAACCGAACGTCTATTAATTTTTGGTACATAATTAAAGATAAAAAAGAATATTCAACTTTTATTTATTTATTTATTTATTTATATATTTATATATGAATTATAAAATTGTGTGATAATAGGGATGTGGGAATTGTGTCGGCGGTTCTTTCTTTTGAACGGGCTTTTGTGGATTCGAGCGCCCCTAGTCTAGACCCGCCCGATATTCCATTGTTACAGCTCGCACGTGATCGCCACTCTTCAAAATCCCTAAACTACCCCTCCAACTATTTGTGCTCAGGGCCAGGAGGAGTGTACATCCATTAAGGGTATTTCCGTCTTTTCACAGTATACTGACGCATTATTCAATCCAAAGCTCCGTGCCTTCTTTCTGCTTGTTCGGGAATCGCGTAGAGAAACGATTGGCAACAAGTTTTATTTCTTTCCTTTTGATGAAACCCTAATTGCTCCAAACGTCGTCGTTTGGGTTAATTAAGGAATTAAATTTGTTTATGGCGTGCGGGTGCAGCAGATGTGTGTTTTGAATGGGAACATTGAAGGAAGGGAGTTGCAGTAATGGCTGTGTTTAAGATGGAAATTTACTAAATTTCATGTTAAGAGAATGGAATAAAGAATGGAAATAAAAGGGTTTATGAAAAAAAGGAAAATTAATGATAAAAAAGAATTCTTGAGAGAGAAAGTTAGAGAGGGAATCTGGAAAAAGGAACTTCGCAGCTATCCCCGCCAGTGTATATGCAGAGATTCTTTTGTGTATCAGATCATTCTATCTTTCATACCCGCTTCACAGCATAGCTATCTCTTAAGCTTTGCTGGTGCTGTTCTGGACTGTGCTTTTGCTTCAAACCATTTATTGCGGGGTTTTCCTCTCTTCCCTTTCCTCTGTTTTCTACTTTTTTCAGTTAACACTTTAGGCTGTGGGGTGAATGCTGTATTGACTTTTAAGCGTTTTCCCACTTGATTTTGCTTCTCAAAGGTTGTTAAAAGCTACTTTTGCTCATCTTTCTTAATTTTTTGGTTTGGAAATTAGTGGAACTCATGGGGTTTTCTCGTTTTATTTATCCACCCAAGGGATACCCTCTATTGTGTTTGTGCTATTTATTTTGTTGTGTGGAGTTCCATCTATAATATTCCCGCCTAGTGTTCTTGTGGAGGTGCTTGTGAGTGTTTTAATCTTCTGGGTCCTCATGTTTTTTACCGCTTTCTCTGCCTCTGTTCTCACTTTAGTGTGCTATCGTCTAAGATTAGCACATTTTATCATTTGGGGTTTTTGTTTTGGAAGATTTGGGATATGGGTTTTTCTTAGATTTGAGTTTGGTTGTACAGATTCTAAAATTTTTTGTTTCTGGGGCAGAGGGAAAGAGCTGTTTCAAGCAGAGGAAGTTGTGAAGTGAGTCATGGCGGGAGGTGCAGCACCCAAAGTAGAGGAGCCACAAGCTCATCCACCGAAGGATCAGCTACCCAACGTTTCTTACTGTATTACTAGTCCACCTCCATGGCGTGAGTCTCTTTTTGCATCCCTTTTTTCCTCTAAGCTTTCCAAGTTGAGTTCTATTTTCAGAACATTGGCCTTGTTTGGCCCAAGACGATCGTAGTTCGACTTCGATTCTTCTGAAACTAATTGGTTTCTGGTTTCCGTATGGTTAGCTATTTTCAGTTCTTGCAGTTTCTTGATTCATCACCACCGTGTCATGTATTAATAGCTGATAGAAACTTTTCTTTTATGTTTCATTCTCCGCCGTTTTCCTCTTTATTTTGATAGATTCTGCTGTTTGGAAAGTAAATTTGTACCTCTGTGAACGAATCTGGCAGATCTTCTGATAGCATTATCTTCTAAATTTGTCATGGGAATAAAGCAGCTAGTCATTCCTTTGTTCGCATCTTTTGAGCAAATGGGAATAAACACCGTTTGTTCCTTTGTTTTTTTCCTTGATGCAGCTGAAGCTATACTTCTTGGTTTCCAACATTATCTGGTGATGTTAGGCACGACGGTTCTGATTCCGTCTTTTCTTGTTCCTCAGATGGGTGGTGGATTTGTAAGGCTCAAGTGAAACTTTTATATTACATTCCTTTTTATGAAGGTTCTTACAACCATGTGACTGTAACTCATTGTTCTTATAGGAGGAGAAGGCAAAGGTTGTCCAAACCTTGCTTTTTGTTGCTGGCTTGAATACCTTGCTACAATCGCTCTTTGGGACTCGGTTACCAGCTGTAATTGGAGGGTCATACACCTTTGTACCCACCACTATTTCGATCATCGTTGCTGGTCGATTTTCTGATACGGCTGATCCTATTGATGTAATGTGAACTAAATTCTTCTGGCGAATTGATATTAATGCCTAGTGTAGGATGTCAAATACTGTGTCATTCATGCTATTAGAAATGCTCATTTGTCTCTATCAATGACTAATTTTAACTAACGAAATAGTTCTTCACTAGTTATAATTGTGTGTTTCGTTTGAGGCTGTTGACATTGCTTTGCTTGCATATTCAGAAATTCAAGAAGACAATGCGGGCAATCCAGGGTGCTCTCATTGTTGCTTCAACCCTTCAGATTGTCTTGGGCTTTAGTGGCCTGTGGCGTAACGTTGCAAGGTGGGTCAAGTCTACCTTATGAAGGATAACGCAGTGATATAATAATAACTTGACGTTTTTTTGGTTAACTGCAAACATATAGCTGCATTACAAGTGCTTTCGTGGCATAATATTTGTTGGTTAAATTGATTGATGCAAGGTGTCTGCAAGAAGTACTCAATTCATTAAGTTTGCATGTTCGAGGCTCAAGTACTCGGTTCTTAGATGTGTTCATTTTTTTTTTTTTTTTGAAGAAGTTCTTAAGCTATTGTTAGATTTTTGTTACATGTGACATCGAGTTTATTTTAGCAATACATTATGAATTGCCTTTCACAATTTTATTGACTCGTCCACTTTGCAAGGCTTGAATTTCACTTTGGTTATTGCTTCCATTCTTCAGGTTTCTTAGTCCACTTTCAGCTGTCCCTTTGGTTTCTCTAGTTGGATTTGGACTTTTTGAATTGGGTTTCCCAGGGGTAAGTCTCTCCCATTCCCGCTCTGCGTCTTCGTGTGTATGTGTTTCTTAAAAGGAATTGTTATTATACTCGTAATCGCAATGCTTAGAGATGCCCTACAATATCTGATTAATTTTTCCCTCCAAGGGGTCTAACATTTGGCTTGGATGATAGGTTGCCAAATGTGTGGAAATCGGACTGCCGGAGCTTATACTTTTGGTCTTTGTTTCACAGGTACTCCTTTCAAGCAACACACATTCAGTGTTTTCTTTATAGTCCTACTCGTTTACAAAGAAAATCATTTCTTCTGTAATCGTCTTTCGCTATAATCATGTATACTTCTTGTGCAGTATTTGCCTCAAGTGATCAAATCTGGAAAACACATATTTGATCGTTTTGCAGTCATTTTTTGTGTGGTGTTTGTGTGGATTTATGCTTTCCTACTGACAGTAGGAGGGGCATACAAAGGTGCACCGTCTAAAACACAATCAAGTTGCCGTACTGACCGCTCGGGGCTTATAGAAAATGCTCCATGGTGAGTTATGACCTGCTAAGATCAAAATTTTGAGAATGGAGTCCCAATCCTAGCTTTGGATGTTGAATGAATCTCTTTTTGGCCTACCTCTCCATTATTTCATTTCTTTTCCCACTTTTGTTTCAACGTCTGATCTTCTACGCACTTTTGTATATTCCTTTTGAACATTCGACGTATTCGTGGATCAACTAGAAGAGATTACCAATGAAAATCAAAATATTTTATCAAACGCATTTATTTTTCATTGGAATTCATTAATCCTCGTTCATTGATGGGATCTGCATTAAGTAACATGGAATTTACATATGTAGGATAAGACTTCCATATCCATTTCAATGGGGAGCACCTTCATTTGATGCTGGTGAAGCCTTTGCCATGATGATGGCATCATTTGTTGCTTTAGTAGAGGTTCGTTTTCTTTTTCTTGTTTCAATGCTCGCTCTAGACATGAATTTATCCAGTTCCTGATTTCTTCACCTTCTGTTTCCTTCACAATTGCTTGGTTTTCTGGTTTCTCAAGTTAACGATGCGTTCGAAAAGTAGTTTGTTATAATTGACAATGTATTTGTATACTTGAAGTGATCCCCATTTTCTCCCTTGCCCCATGTCAAATGCAGTCCTCTGGTGCTTTTATTGCTACGTCCAGATATGCGAGTGCCACTCAGCTGCCGCCCTCGATTCTCAGTCGCGGTGTTGGTTGGCAGGTAATGTAAAATGGTCATTTTATATTTTTCCAGGAGGAAGAGATACTATTAAGCTTGTTGAGGATTGTTGGGAGTGAGTCCCACATCGGCTAATTTAGGGAATGATCATGGGTTTATAAGTAAAGGAATATATCTTAATTGGTATGAGGCCTTTTGGGGAAGCCCAAAGCAAAGCCATGAGAGCGAATGCTCAAAGTGGACAATATCATACCATTGTTGAGATCCGTGATTCCTAACAAAGCCTTGGCATGAGCTATTAACTATGCCTGGGTCTTGTTATGGCGATAGCTCTGTAGCTAGCTTGTAGTGTATTGAAAAGCTTATTGCATCTGACCCCTTCAACTTATCTATGCAATCGTTTCTGACCCCAGGGAGTTGGAATTCTGCTTTCTGGGCTGTTTGGAACTGTGAACGGATCCTCGGTATCGGTGTAAGCGTTTGCTGCCTTTAGCAGAATAATTCGATCAAGTACAAAAATTGTTTTCGTCCCTTTAAGGTTTTCTTACTTTTTATATTTTAGTGAAAATGCTGGTCTCTTGGCGTTGACCCGAGTTGGCAGTCGAAGGGTTGTGCAGATTTCAGCCGGATTCATGATATTCTTCTCCATTCTCGGTAAGTTTCTGATAGATATCGGTTGCAGTCTTTAGTCCGAACTCGAGTTAGAAGTAGGCACCAATCCTCGTGTACATCTGTTCTATTCCTCCGTGGGTTTGCAGGGAAATTTGGAGCAGTCTTTGCATCCATTCCAGCCCCCATTGTTGCAGCTCTGTACTGTCTTTTCTTTGCTTACGTGGGTAAGCGTTCGTTGTCGATAATTGGAAATACAATAATGTAGTGATCTTGGTTGGTAAGTGATGGATTTTGTTTGCAGGCATGGGAGGTTTAAGCTACCTCCAATTCTGTAACCTCAACAGCTTCAGAACTAAGTTCATATTAGGATTCTCCATCTTCCTAGGACTCTCTGTGCCACAATACTTCAATGAGTACACAGCCATTAATGGGTTTGGTCCAGTCCACACAAAAGCAAGATGGGTAAGTTCTGATGTTTTCTTCTCCCCTCATGGTAAATTCTGATGACATTGAAATTGTTCCCTGTTCTGTTGCTCTGTAGTTCAACGACATGATCAATGTCCCGTTCTCTTCCGAGCCATTCGTTGCTGGAATCGTGGCATATTTTCTAGATAACACAATGCATAAAAAGGGCGACGCCATCAGGAAAGATAGGGGCAAACACTGGTGGGACAAGTTCCGATCGTTCAAGGGCGATACGAGAAGTGAAGAGTTCTACTCTCTGCCTTTCAACTTGAACAAGTATTTCCCATCTGTGTGATTTGTTGGTGTCTTCTGTCAAATGCTGCTGCCTGCTTGCTTCATTCAAATGAGTCTGTGGAACATATTGCCAGTATCAGCTGTATAAGTTAGCTTCTTTTCTCTATACGATAACCTTTATTTATAACTTCATTTAGTTGCGTCTTTTTGTACATCGAACGAAGAGGTCGGTTTCGAAGTGTCCATGGAAAAACAAACGACTCTTCTATTTTTTTCCCTTTGTAGCTATCGGAGCATAGTTTAATAGTAATTGATATATATTCCTTTTCTTGAGGTCGAGGCACGTGTCAATCTCTTACGTGCTAGTGGTCTAGTGGTTTAGATTGAAGTCGACCAGACAATGGAAAGGAAGCATCTAAAAATTTAAGGCAACTCATTTAAAGTTTTAGGTTAGAGGGCTATTCAAGGTTGAAAATGAGTGCATTTTGATAAATCAACTACTCTAATTCAAGGCTGCATTGGCCTACCCTACCCAAGGGACAATTATATGAAAGTGAAGGGCCACAATGCGAAGAATATTCCAGGTTTTGCATCACTAGGGAACCTTCAAAATTTTCCAATCAACTTTAAACCAAAAGGACCCAAATGGTAATGGACTTGTGAGACTTCGGAACACGATTGGGCTTAAATGGATGACATCTGTTATCGATGAACTTAAGTTGTTACGAATGTTATCAAATTCAGACATCGGGCTCCCACGAAGGGTGGATTGTGAGATTCCACATCAGTTGGAGAGAGGAACAAACCATTCCTTATAATGTGTTTTAAAATCATGAGGTTAACAGTGATACGACGGGCCAAAACAGACAATATTTGCTAATAGTAGGCTTGGGTTGTAACTAGAGTAGTTATTAGGCTTCAAACCTTAATGAAATTTGGTTCAAAGTTATTGAAACTAAGTAGATTCTTAGAGTTTAGGTTTAGATCATTTTTTTGGCTATCAAATAATGCATGCATGCACTTCAAGTATGACTAAGTTTAAATTCTTGGTTAAGCATCTTATTGTCGAGCTCGAGCCCCTATATTTTGAAACTAATAAAGAAGAAAAGGCTTGGTCAAGGAACGTGCTTGCTTTTTAATTCTTGGATTAATGACTTTAATCATCTTTTTAATTATATGATTGAATAGACCGTGTTCTTCGTAATTCAATTAACCAATCAAATCTCTAACGATCGAAACAATTTTTCCATCTAAATAAAAAGATTCCCTCTACTCGTGAGTCACGCTCCCAAACAAAACAAAAAAAAAAAAAAAAAACATTGAATTAAACTCTTAAACTGTGGATTGAGACTTGTCTTATGTTTCTTTTTGAGTTGCAGCAAAAGGGTGATAAGAAACGAAGATGCCTTTTCATTTTCTTGCAGAAGAAGGCATTATTGCCAAATAATCTGATAACAACATTCTCTTCCATCATTACTATAAAACCCTAAACAACAGAATAACTCATCTTTAAGCATATGGTGAGTGGTGAGTCATTGCGATAAGATTTGGGAGTGAAATTACTTGGGTATCCTTCATTTCTTCCCTTTTGCCTTTCAAATATGTACAAAGATATAGGGTGAAGTTGGTCCATATCAATGAAAACAGTGCCTAAATATGCCAACTTTTGGGTCTCCAGGTGTTTGGTTAGTGGGTTTTGGGAGGTAACTAAAGTTTGGAAATTTGGGTCGATTCTACGAGGAGAATGAAGCATTTCTTATAAGCGCGTCAAAACCTTTATTTAATAGAGACGTTTTAAAATCATGAGCCTGATAGCAATATGCAGTGGGTTGTGGACAATATGGTGGTTAACTGTTACAAATGATGGGTAGTTGGTATGGGCTCTGGATTGTGAGATTGTGAGATCTCACATCGGTTGGAGAGAGGGGAACGAAACTCTACAAAGAAAGGCGTGGTTTCACATGGGCTCGAGAGGGTAGCACCCAATTTAGCCGTGGAAGAAGGGCCTCCAAGCACTTCAAGAACACACTTTTTAATTTTCTTTGAATGACCACAGTTTGGCTCCAAATTCAAGAGCCAGAGCGTGGCGACTTTTTCTGTCACATCTTACAACCATAATGATATTGGCAAATGCCTGCCAAAGATGTTGTACATACGTGTTCTGTAAACGCCATTTGCAAATCCTCTTATTACGCTTAAGGATTGATTATTATCGGTAAGGTTTCTATTTTCGATCGATTTCTTCTTCTTTCATTTGTTTACAATCTTTCCGTCCATTATAAAATTAGGGTTTCATTTATTCCGATCGATTAAACAATCCCAACAATGGTTGCTGATTATAATGTAGAAGAAATTCTCTAAGTAGCCGAAGAACCAAAAGAAGAACAAGGAGAAGCTTATCGGGCAGTGAGTCTGAGTTAAATGGAAGCTTTAGTGAAAAGGGTAAACTTCCTTTTCGAAAGGGAAATGGTTTTTAAAGAAAAAGAGGAACCCCCTCTGATGGGACACCACTCATTATACTGTTGCTTAGGGTTTGTTTGTTTGGTTGTTTGGCTGTTTCATTCTTGGAGCTATGGAATTTATGAACTTATCTCTTATTGCTGGATTAAGATTTGTTGTATCCTTTTGAAAGAAAATGGTTTTATGGATTGGATTTTGAGGTGCCCACAAGATTTTTCACCTCCAATTCTGTTCTGTTTCTTGTGGGCTACTTGAAAACTACTCCCAGTTGTGTAATCCAAGGAAATGTTTGACATTTTCTGAGGAAAATTTTGTCTTGTTTGTGGTCCTGTGGAATCATAACTTTGAGAGCATGACATTCAAATTTATTGATATTCATATATTCTTTTCCATTTACAAAGTGGTGGTATTCATCATGTAATGTACATATCAAGAGTTGAAGCTGTAATTTCACCTTTGGAACCAGATCCCCTGTTCTTCCACCCACCCAATCATAGCTCAACACCTCATATCTTGTTGGATAATCTTGCCCCTCTTTACCCCAAGGTGTATTAAACTGATAAGAATTTAAGGCTGCTGGTGAATGAGTGTCTGTTGTGGCTATAAAAAAGAGATTGGTCCTCTCTTCACAGCCTCCCCTCTTGCTTACCATTAGAGAGAGAGGGAGAGAGAGAGAGAGAGAGCGGAGAGACTGGCGGAGAGATGGGGAATTGCCAAGCCATTGATGCGGCAACACTTGTGATACAACACCCAGGTGGGAAAGTGGACAAATTGTATTGGCCTGTGACGGCTAGAGAGATTATGAAGATGAATCCTGGTCACTATGTGGCTCTTCTCATCTCTACTGCCATGTTTACTCCAAATGAAAGTAATAACAATAGTGAAACCAGCAGTAATTCGGTTCGTTTAACTCGAATCAAGCTTCTCCGCCCGGCTGACATGCTTGTTCTTGGCCAAGTTTACAGGCTCATCACTTCTCAAGGTCAATTTTATCATATCCAACACATAAAGTTCTTGAAATCTCTTAATTTTGTAGGCTTAACTTGAATTCATGGCTTCATTTTGTTTGTGAGTATCAGAGGTTATGAGAGGCTTATCAGCAAAGAAACAAGCAAAGGTTAAACAAAACCAGTTAGAAGCAGCAGAGAAGCCAGAGAGGAGGAAAGAACAGCCGCCCCGACGGTCGGATGCAGCAGCAGCTGGAAGGTCTGTATCTGATCAAGATCCCGTTCAGGTGAATTTTTAACCCCAAAAAAACATAATTTTGAAGGAAGTTCTTTGACAAACGAACTGCATAACTGTTGTAGGCGACGAAACACGAGAAGAACAACAGACCAAGGACAAGTACATCGACGACAACCTCGGCCACGGCCAGATCAAGAACATGGCAACCTTCATTACATAGCATCTCAGAAGGTGGAAGCTAATCATATATGTTCCCTATTCCCACATGCTATTGAGAGACAGGGTGGCACAGATTGTGGTATAAGTTGGTGATAATGATCTTAGAGTGGTGGCTGTAAAAGAGTTGTTTGAAACTGTGCATAGGAAAGGGAAAGCAGGGTGGGTAATATTATATAGTGTAAGGAGTTAAGATTCTTCAAGCATCTCTGTAAATCCAAAGTCATTTTCAGTAATGAAATATGGGACTTTAGCAAAAGAAAAGAGCTCAGTTTTTTTTTTTACCATTCTGATTTACTGTTTTATCTGTTCATAGTTTCATCTGTTTTAGCATACCATTTGCTTTAAAGCTTATACAGCTCATGTTGATTTGAATCTCTGTCATCTCAGCTTAGCTAAGCATTGTACGGTATTATGTCTTTTCCAATAATTTTTCTTCTTGGAACTGATAAGATGGGGTAGCAGTGTAATAGTTCGAGACCACTGCTAGCCGATATTGTCCGCTTTGGTTTGTTATGTATCGTTATCAGTCTCACGATTTTAAAATGCGTCTGTTAATGAGAGGTTTTCACATCTTCCCAAGGAATGCTTCGTTCTACAGTGAAATTAGATCATTGAAGGGCTAATTGGGAATGTAATGGATCTACGAACAAGCACAGTAGCAATTTAGAGTCGAAAAATTTATTTATTTATTTGTAGGGTTCGAAGTTGGATGAATCTCGAGTAATTCCTTCCCCTTTGGCTGATCGTTAAGCGCACTACTCTCAAACTAAGTCACAACGTCCCCTTCGTGAGGAGACACCCGTTCTTACTAAGATCGAGAAATTTGAACTTCAAAGTCGATACGGTATACATGCACTAGTTCAAGTTGGTGGGGTTGTAAGAAAGTTTATGAGAATTAAATTACATAGATAAATGGCATTAACAAATTGAATGAAAAATATTATCTTGATGTGCTTCTGCGAATCATTTAGGAAGTCCGACAGTTTCAAAAGATGATTGGGATGACAATATTTTACTCAGATTAGAGCGTATTGATGAAACAACCATTCAGATGGTTCTCAAGAAGTTGCAGTCTCTGTTTCCCAAAAATCTGTGCTCTCTAGATAGGAGGATTACGAGGGCTGCTGAAAATCCTGCGCCTGTATCGCTCAGTAATCTGAAGGATGTTGATCGATTTAGACGCAGTGCTATTCATGATCACTAAGGATCAAGGAACTCTGTTAAGAGCTTGTGGAGATTGCAATTAACTTGGATCTTGACGGAAAATGTGAAATGCAGTGGGCGAGCTGCTGGAGAAAAAAAGGCGATCCTGAAGAGTTCGTCGCATGCGAAACTATGATTGAACACAGGATGAGCTGCAAAAAGACGGAGCCGAAGTAAGTATTCTTCAAATTCCATACCTGTTCTTACTGTTCTTCAGCATGAATGTATATCTTCAGTTATTTTTTTTGCATGAAGGTCGAGTACTAAAAAGTGCCCTAGATTGTTGTTTTACGAGATTAATGGGAGGCTTCTGAATTAGTTTAGAATCTTGTGAAGCTTTTTTTTTTCTGCTGCTTTCTACAGAAATAAAGTAGAGACATAATTGAAAAGGAGAAAGGAAAGTGAGAGTTGCCATGCATGAACGCAATCAAAAACCTCAAGACAAAATGAGTAAGATATAGTGCAATGTGACAGTGCACTCGTGCGTAACTATAGTGAAATAAGATAATTGAGGGCTAATTGGGATGCGATGGATCAGCACTCAACACCAACAATGCAAAAGAAAAAGAAAATTTGTCATCATTTTTTTGCATATTTTTGACCTCTGATGCAATGATTAACTTGATCTTTTTCTGGGTGAACTTTAAAATAAGAGGAATCTTGTTCAATACCCAAGGCATCGTTGCTTAAAGTTTTATCATTTTTTTTTTTCCCTTAAAGAAGCCAGAGCAATACAGGCCATAGCAGGAAAAGCATAAGATTCATAGCTTTTGTTTTCTTTTTAGATTTTCTAAGTTATTGCTCCACTTTAGAGATTGCTTTTTGATCATAGAAACAACCAGCAGATCATCTCCACTTAGTTGGAGGAGGAGCGTTCATCTGGGTCCTTGGATTCCAAGCAATCATAGTTTTACCCAGATTTTCTACAATTCTCTGTTCCTACTTGGTGGCTTTTCCCTTAATCTTTATGTAACGGCTCAAATCCACTGCTAACAGATATTGTCTTCTTTAGACTTTTCCTTTCGAGCTTCCCCTCAAGGTTTTTAAAACGCGTTTGCTAGGGAGAAAGTTTCCACACCCTTATAAAGAATGCTTCGTTCTTCACCCCAACCGAGGTGGGATCTCACACTTTATCTCTTATTCTCAATCGATCGTATCAAAATGCAGTTGTAAATAAGAGCTATGAAGGAAGCCAGTTCTCATTCAAACCAACCTTTTCTCTTTATCATATAAGTCCATTGAAAAGTTCTCCTGCGTATTTGAATGGCTGAGCTTTTCAAATTTCATATTTTTCTACCATTTTCCTCCAATTATAGGATGCAACTGGTCTGCAGATCTGAGGTCAAACTTTATTGAGTTCAGTTCAATCCCTGCTCTGGTTTGGTTTTATTACCTTCTCTGCCATATCAGATTCCTCAGTTCTGAAAACTTCTTTTTTCCAAGAAAATCACATCAAGGGAATAAAACAAAACAAAAACACCGTACATACTCGATGAATTATGAAAAACTTCCTGCTCCACAGATTAGGAGGCATATCATTGGTGAGTCATTGAATCTCATTCAGTGACTCCAGCTGTTAGATAAGAATAATAATTGAGATATCTCTCATAATTTAGAAGATCTTGTTTGCTTTCCTTCCAGATCCAAGATCCCCTAAGATCAGAAAGGAGCTTTCTTTTATGGAAGTGCTGATACAAGAATTTGTACCTCTTTCTGCATGTTTAAATGTGATTTAAAGTTATGATCATCTGAAACAAAGCATTCACTTCACATACAACAACAAACAAACAAACTTGTTGATGGAAAAATGAAAATAGCTTATAGTCTCAATTGAATAGAAGAACAGTACATCTCATATTTCTGCAGTGCTTATGGAAGGTTTTCAGCTCACACTCAAAAAATTTATTGAAACTCAAATTTTTCTTCTAGTACACTAAAGAATAGCAAACCCGAACCCGCAAGTATTGATGAAAAACGTAACTTTATCTGTTCCTCATGCACAATATAACAGTTGCATCCAACATCAAGTTCTTCTCAACTGGTGTGTTCTCAGTCACTCCCTTTAATCTCTTCATGCTTGTCAAGTTGGCTGAAATTCCCCTTCTGTTTGAAGAGTTGGTTGTGATGATGCCTACAGTACAGTCGATGTTCGTGTGCTATGTAGTTTGATGGGCTAATCACACATCCTCCATGTGAGCACCTGAAGCAAGCTCTGTGGTATGATTTACTATCTACTGCCACCTGATGGAAGAAAAAAAAAACAGCATCTCTTAAAATTAAGCCAACTAGTTTTAGCGCAATTTGAGCATCACTCGATTGGTTAGCACATTATATCCTCCATTAAAAGGTTAAGAAGTTCTTCAAAGATTCCATTGCCTTAGATCAAGGAGACCGTCATCTCCAAAAGTAGGGTGGTTAAGTTCGAGTCTGAATCAACGCAACACGAAGGGATGAAAAGAAAGCTAGTTTAGGACAACATTCAACTATCCTAGTTCGTAATTTCCAAATGTATCATACTGTTTCGGGTTGTATTATAAGGAAATTTCTTGAACTGTAGCTCTTCCTTTTGCATGATAAAGTTGATTCTCTCTCGAGAAAAACAGGTAAATAGGAAGGTTTTGTACCCTTTTAGCATTTGAATGTTTAGGTTGTAAATTTGATGAGAACTTGAGTGAATGATTCAAAGAATAGCCACAGGAAGAAAGTAAAAAACTAGAGGCTTTTAAACTGTATAATGGCCATTTACCTTCTCAATTGGATAAACAGTTTTCTTGCAAGTAACACATTTATCTTGAGTTCCAGCAAATAAACTCGACACTTTGCTGTTGGATTGGACCTTTCAAATGTTAATAACAACAACTAGTAGTTAGGAATCAGAGCATAAGTATTGATTTTAGCAGATAAGCTTCCAAAAAGTGAATAAAGAAAAGAAAACCTGATTGGTAGATCTGTCTGTTCTAATGGTTCTTGGAGTACCTAAAGAGAAGAAAGAAGAAGATAATAGACTAAACAAGCAGAAGTCATTGAAGGCGGAAAAAGACTCAACAACAACCAATTACCTTCAAAACTTTTTTCCAAGCTTCCAGTCATCTTGAACAACTGATCAAAGTGAGGTTTGCAATATAATACACCTTCAAAGGAGGAGTAATTGAACAACTGCAGTGACATAAAAAAACAACAGAATCAGTATTGGTGATAATGTTCGAGCGATGGGCACCAAGCTAACCTAAACATAGCTCTACTAATTAAGAAATATCTCTTCGATCAAAAGGTTATGATCTTAAAAGATAAACCATGATCCTTGTACACTGCAGAATCTCAAACACATACAAAATCTAAGGTAGCAAAATTCATTGTCGAATAAGATATAAAGACAGACTCAAGTGGAATCAGATAGTTATGAGATACGGGAATCATTTAACTATTACAACATGAAAATTTTAGCCAAAAGTGCAGATAGAATTGGAAATAGGATCATTTTATATCAGTTTGAGATACTGAATATGATGGATAGGATCTGGAAATAGGCATATCTTGAGCAGCATGCATCTATTCCATTCACAACAAGGCTCTCATCTGAAGGAAGATCCATATAAGAAAGGAATATATGTGTGTAAGATTCAAAAGAGTTACCTTTAGAGTGCTCTTGCAATGGTAGCACCTGAAACAGGCCTTGTGGTAGATTTTGTTATCAGCAGTGAGCTGATCAACCAAGTAAACAGTTTTGTCACAGGCCTTGCACTTTTGGGTTGTCCCTAAAAACGCCATCTTCAAAAAATCTTTAGGATTCAAGGAAGAATATGAACAGAACAGAACAGAAATGAACTGAACTGCCAAGCTGAGAAGAAGGGAAGGGAAGGGAAGGGAAGGGAAGAAGAAGAGGCAGAAGATCTTTCCTTCCTCCTTTTTATGTCGTCTAAGTGTCCGGCAAATTTCCCTCTTAGAGTCAGAGATTACAGCTCAGGCACATTCGAACAAGCTGACAAATTTCCAGTAATGAGCAATTTGAAAATTTGACCAACATAATTCCCCATCTAGACACCCATTAACTACTTCATTTTACACGTGTCATCTCCTTATTTGATCACATAAAGCGAAAATATGTCCCAAGAAGTGGATTAATGATGGGTTTAATGCAATTTTATGACCATATACGTTATGTTTCAGCACAGCCATGGAAGTAACAGAACCAAGTTTATTTTAATGGGAAATGGTCGGCTCAGTTACAAAGCTGAAAGATGATCTGTAGAATGAAATATAGAATATAGTTAGATCAAGCAGAGTAATGATGAAAGATGAAGACTTTTTCAATTAAAAAAAAAATAAAAAAAAATTCAATGTCTTTGCATAAGCAAATGTGTGACAGATAAGAAATGCATATACAAGAAATACTATACACATTTTTATTTGTATGATTTCATGATTTGATGTATAACCAAGTCTTCGAACTAATTATTGTGCCAAATTCAATATCTATTCTCGAGCTCTTTTCTTTAGGGGAAAATTCGATCCGGAATGATTTCTTTTCTTTTTTTTACATTAGGATACAAACGTTAGGCGATCGATCGTTTATTCCATCATTTACATTTACATTGTATACAGTTTTTTCTTCTTCACGCAACATTTTAAGTGGAAATGGAACAATTTCAATACTGTGATTGTTTTGTTGGGCCTTTTTTTCTTTTCAATTTAGCTTTACATCTTTTCTCATTCTCCTTTTTAGGCGCCGACTTGGAAGAGCGATTGAATTGATCTGTCCCACCCACCATCCTTGTTGTCCTCACCAATATAAATAAGACTACAATAAATTCGAATTATTCCCTTTCTTTTCCGCTTTAAATGTTTTTAATGAATATTATAAAAAAGAAAATCAACCCCCCCCACTAAAAAAATATAAAAGAAAACCACCTAATCCACTGGGTATATGCATGCGTTTAAATAATGATACCAACAAATAAATAAAAGCATTATTTATACTTCAAATCGTGTCAATAACAAACACCAGCCAATCTTACTTGTATTTCCAATTTATTTTTTTAGTTTCCTTCTCTTCAAACGATTTCAGCCACATGAAAAAGAAACACTGACCTACAAAGCAAGTTCAGAATAAGTTTTATGGGTAAATTAAAAATCCCATCCCCCACCATGTACGTTCTATTTCGAGCGTAAAAGCAGGCAATGTTAAGCTTCGAAACCTCGAGATGTTACCAAGTATCATGTAAAAGAAGAAATTATTGAGGATTAAAACCAGCCTACAGGAAATGGGGGAAACAGAATTGGGTGCTTCAAAACCTTTATTTAGCTGAAAGCATTAAAAACCTTTGTGAGACATTTTAATAGTCACTGGATACAAATTCCATCATGTACTTTCGCTAGCTGCCTTCGCCTGCCGAGCTTCTTCTCGCATGGTTGCTTTCACATAGATTTCATAGCAACATCCTGAAAATAAATATAATGACAAGGCTTAAAGTTTTTCTTTTCTTCAGGACGAAAAAATTTCATTCCAAAGGAACTAAACAGACACAGAGAGATATTCTTCCCACTATCAGGCATGAAGAGATGAAGAAAAAGAGTCCTCTTGACGAAAGAAGATAAATTATCAAAACATTTGTAAGACTTCGACCAAAGGAAGGCTCTGTAGCCTTACATTCTCTCAAATTTCTCTAGAATTTCTATGAATGTGGTTTGAAATTCTGTCATTTCTTTATAGCCCAATGACCCACAAATAGCTCATGAAGCCTTCATTACCAATAATCTTTGCTTTCCACTTAACCACTAAATCAAAATAATCTCAGGAAGTATAATTGGATCTTTTTGGAAGCACCATTCTATGTTGAACATATTACATAACTGAAACCAATAATCTGCTAGAGAAAAGTAGCTGGAAAATTAAAAACATTATCAAAGGTCTCTTCATAGAAGAGACTAGTTTTGGCATACTTGGGGGTATAGCACGTAGAGTGGGTTTTCCTTTTAAATACTTTTTTGAGTGTTGATGTTCTTGTAGACTAGGGTACAAGGAGTTCTCGTCTTCCAAATCTGCTTAGTCAAGTGCCCGTCCTTCTCGGTCATTGAATTAAAGTAAGAGGGCATTGAATTGAACCAATAATAAAGTTCAAAGATGTTTTCATTGGCCAAGCTGGACAGATACTCGGTGTGTGGATAAATCGCATCTCTCCCATCTTTTTCTATATCCCTTTCGATAATAAATGTTTTGTTTCTTAATAAAAAAATAAAATAAAATAAAAAGATGATGGCAACATTGTAGAAATTTAAATAAAAAGAAAAGAAATCAATTACGTTTCTTGGCAACATGCCAATTCACTTAACATAGCCCGATGCACATGTGAAGAACTCAAAATTGATTGCTCCTTCACTGAATTAACAAGTAAAACGTTCATTTTCAACTAATTTGAATTGTCATTTTGGGAGAAGTTAGAATGATAGAGAAGCATTGTTAGCCCTTGTTGAATATAAACAAAGACATGAATTCTTTTGGGGATGAGGGCTCTAGCATTATTAACTTTGCGCAGTCTAGTTGGACTAGATGGTTGAGGACCTTCGGTGTGGAGAGTTTGTTTCTCTGTGATTAAGGAAGTCCTTTTGAGTTCGCTCTTTCGTGAGCGTGGCCTTATGTTGCGGCAAGAGAGCTTTTTTGCTATTGTTTTGAGTATTTGGCTTGAGGGAAATAATAGGATTTTTAGAGAGGTTGGAAGATCCAGTGAGGAGAGGTAGGGAGCTCGGTTTAAGCCTCTTTGTGGGTGTCTATCAACAGACTCTTTTGTAATTATGATCCTGGCTTGATTTTATTGGATTGGAGCTCTTTTTGTAGTTAGTTGGGACTCCTCTTCCCTTTTTTGTGGCCTGTTTTTTTTAATGCTCTCTTCTTATCAATGAAAGCCCAATTCCTTACACCCCCCCCCCCCCCCCCCCCCCCCCCCCCCCCCCCCCCCCAAAAAAAAAAAAAAAAAAACTAATCTAATAATATTGTTGTATCAAACTCTGGAAACACAGAGTTGACTGTTTAGTTGGTGAATATGATGGAGTTCAGAGGTGGTCTTCAATTTCAATCAACTTGAGCATTAGCGTTTATTTGAACAAAGATCACGTTGTTCTACATTTGAATCTCAAGGTCCTTCTTTTGCAGTCACTGATACCCGGTGAGACTACTAAAAACAAACCATAAATACAGCCGCTACCCCAATCTTCCATTTCGGTAGCATTATTTTACCTTCTAAGTTAGCATATGCAATATGCTTGTTTTCATTCGAAGTCTATGAAGCCAATTTTCACCTCAAAAAAGCTTGTAAAAATTTGACAAACTTGTATCGGTATAGAAACATACATCATCCAAAAGATTCAACCGCACATATTTTATATCAATGTTGCGATAATGGTAAATGACAGAGCTAGGACCCACGGGACGAAGAGATAAGTATTTTTATTAGTGCAAAAAAGACTAATACCTGCAACAACTACGATTGTCAGAACATCTCCAATTTGTTTGATTCGAGAGACACCTTTCTTGTGTGATCTGAACCGCCTTAGAGAAGGGTCCTCAGCTAATAACTGCCAGATTTCAACATAATGAAACTCAATTCAACAATAAATCATTGCAATCACATACTAAGCAACTAAACTGCATCAACAAAATGCAAGAGGTGAGCCAAGTATTGGAAAGTCCTTCGTGAGATGTAAGTGATAAATATTTTCGAAAATAGTTCAATATTGGAGTAGAAACTATTCTTGCGGAGTTTGAGAACACGCATGCAAAGCAAACCCGCAACATACACCAATATAAGGAACTTAACAGATTTCACCAGGGTTTCATGGCATAGCATGGCGACAGATTAGTGTAGAAAACAACACGGAAACCTTCCCTCTAATTTCATGGACCTAAATACAGGAGTTCAAGCAGTTTGATCTGAACAGATTCGAAAAGCTTCCATCTATAATGGCGTCGAAAGATTGAACAACGATAAAGCGAAATGAACTAGATTGACAATCATACGAGATATCAATTAACTTAATGGAGCAGCGGTAAGCTATAAGGAACTAAATGTCCAAACGATGGAGTAGACCACTACACTGGCAATTAAAGATAGAAAATAACAAGAAGTTAGATATGCTTACAGCCTTTTCACGAGCCCCTGGTTCGACGTGGAATCCACGGCGCGAGGGTGACGAAGGATCCACCTACCCGTCAACCAAAAACTCAAAAGATTGAGCGAGAGAACGAAAAAACGATTAAAAAAGAGAAACAAAGAGGCGATTGAATGAGAAAGAACCTGAGATTGAGATCGGAAGTGAGACGCAAGAGCGGTTTTGGTGAGCAAAAACGCCATTGTTCCACAATATGCGAGAAAGAAAAGAGAGCATATGTGACAGTGAGATTAATAAGAAATACGGTGAGGTCAAAATGGGTAATTTTCACATATAGCCCAAAAAATTAAGCGTTAGATTTAGGATGGTCTTTATCTTAAAACGCAAATATGACTCTTTGAGGACGTGAAATGTCCAATTTGTCCTTTACCGATGTTTTCACATGTTACGTTTTGTTATTCATTTTTAATTTTTTTTCACATCTTTAACACCTAATTTTTAAGATTTTCTATGTTGGTATATAGAAAGAAATATAAGAGGCACCTCTAAACTCAAGAAGTGAAGTTGTGCATTCCGATATGAAAAGGGTCGTGCTACACAGGGTCGTACCAAAGGGTACTATACCTTCAACTCTGTCGACTCTAGAAACATTTCCCTCGCCCTTGTTAATCGAAGCCTTGCTTTAAAACTGCGATCGTAAAGTTTCTGCAAGTTCCAAAACTTATTCGCTCATTGACCCAACTGGCCACTGCTTCAGTGCCCCCAAGCAGTCAATGCATTTGAGTTTTAACATCTGTTCTTATTGAAAGAGTATGCATTTGGTCATTTACAGGAAAAAGAGAATGTCCTCGGGACACCAACTTCTTAGTTATAAAACCCTCCCATTTCCTAAAAAAGAGGCAGAAAGAGAGTTTGTTTTGTACAGAAATGTATAAACAGTAGCATAAAGAAGCATACATAAGTATTGTGGCCATTCTGATCAAACATCAACCCAGACCAGGTACCTTCTGATAGTCTCCAAAATTGCCACACAAACTTGATCAGAGAGGAAATTCTTGTGGGTCAGAGACATAGCACAGCCAAGACACTTCGGAAAAACTGCACACAACCATTCTTATCAAATAAGAACAACTCCCTTGCATCTTTTTATAAACGCACACATTTTAACCCGGACTTTCTACTGGATGCACGCCAATGGGACCCTCCAGTAAGTCTATTGGAAGTGCTGCTGGTAGCCATTTTACGCTTCAACTTGTGTGTTTTCCAGTCTCAACCATAGTCGAATTTTTCCTTTCCATGACCCTGTACAGCACCTTTGTATCTCTCGGATACGCTTTTGTTTCGCCTAATTACAAATCTCAACAAAAAGTACCACTTTAGCACACCATATACTTTAGTCCATCTCCTTTGAGCACCACATGATGAGGAGCCACCTTGAAGAGTAGAACGTGATTCGAAAATCGAGCTACATTGGAAATCAGACTCTAGAACTTGCAGATGATCCACATCAAAGAAAGATGAGTTTAGTGGCTCAGAATCACAGATCAGAGAAGAGTTGGCAAAGTTTGGGGAACTTGGCATCTGATCATATCTTACAACCATAGAATCAAAACCCTGCAAAGCATGATCGTCCAAGCCACTCGAATTCCCAATAGAAC